GCGCGTGCCAGGCGGCTTTGCCTGCCTTTTTCTCCAGTCCACACTGCCTGACTCCTCACAGTAATCAGGCGGTCTTTCCCCCCACACACTGAAGTTGTATTTTATAAAGCTCCAGAAAAAAGATGGTGTCCCATCACATAAAGCACACATTCCTGAAAATGTATATCTACTTCAAGTGGCCATTGTATTTTGATCCACTATTGTTCACTGGCTAACATTGTAATTCCTGAGCTGTGCACCTACTGTATAAATATTAGACCTACCGCATGACAAAAATAATTATAACACTTAATTTATAGGAAAATGTTAACTTAAAATATTAACATACTTTCCCAAGTGTCCCCACATATATTATTCCTGCCTGTATTCACAAGCCTGAAGCTGGTGTGGGAAAGAGAATGCTAGCCACTTGAGGAGCAAGCAAATGATGTAGAGACTTGGTCTGACTTGCCCAAGGCCGCCTCCACAAGGGGTCTAAGACTGAGGTCCAGTCTGCCTCACCTCGCCCGACAGCTTTCCACACCTCCCCGTGGGGCCGCGGCTGCTCGGCTGCTCAGACTCCGTTCGGTACTGTGAACTGACTGACAGCTGGGGGCGGGGGGACCTGGGTGAAAAAGGCGAAGGGATTAAGCAAAAAACAAACAAATTCAGAGACCCAGACAAGAGCAGGACGATCACCAGAGGGAAGGGGGCGGGGAGGTAGGAGAAGGTAAAGAAGGAAAATGGTGATGGAAGGAGACTTGACTTGGGATGGTGAACACACAATGCAATCAATCCACCGATGACGGATCATAGAACGGTACCCCTGAAACCAATATAATTTCATTAACCTATGTCACCCCAATAAATTCAATTTAAAAAAAGTTTAAGGTACTTATTGGTTGTATCCTGTGGTTGGCAGAACGTTTGGAGCAACCGATGCGTAAAGGAGATGCTGTTCACCCCTTGATCGGCCCAGGTGCCTGTGGAGTCTGAGCTCCTTTCATTCAGTTCACTTTCCTACCTCAAAGATACATAAAAACAAAGTGAACCATCTCCAGTGTTTACTTTGAAACAATTAAAAAAACAAAGTAGCCTTGTAAACACCCTTAAAACCTCTTCTTAAAAGTAGCAAAAAGTTACCAAAAAAATGTAGGTAGAAATCTACTGAAGTGGCCCCGCCCACAGGCTCAGGGTCCCGCCTGACTGGGAGGCTGGCTCTGCTACTGCTCACCCGCGACGCCTGAGCCACCGTCACCACCAGGTCCCTTTATATGGTCCTCCTATGGATTCTATAACTTCTCGTTTTATTTACCAAACTATATAGGTTAAACAGCAAGTAATGATGTCCCCATTTCACATTCATCAAAGATATTTGCAACCACAGCTTTTTACTAGTATGAGATTTAGGAAGTAATCAAATTTCCTTGAAAAAAGCACAAGTATGTAGAATGTTAGCCCTATACATGGCAGCCCTATCAAGGCTAAAGAGGCACGGTCCTCTGTTGTTCAGAGTGGAGGACACTGGGTTTCAGGCACCCGCAGGCTCTTCCCGGATGCCCAGGGCACTGAGGTTCCCCCAGGCTTGGAACCCCCGGACTCTGTCAAGGAGGTAGCCATGTTCATGGAAAACAGCAAAATGGAAGTCCCTCCCACAAATGCTGCTGTAAAGATACTGCCTCAGACCGTGAAAGCAAGAGCGGGTCCGGAGCCAACAGCTTTGTGAGGCAGAACGATGCTGATGCTAACAGGCAGGTCCAGAGCACCCTGATCCCAGGATCACTGGAAAAACAGCTGGAGCAGCAAGTTGCCATTTGGATCACCTGAAAAGCAAGCAACGTGACACCAAGGCACGCTGCTCATGATGTTTCTCAGGAAGATGCCTATTTCACAAATTAACATCTACTGACTTGAAAGCCAGTTTACCTAACTGTTACCGGTCATGTGATTCCTTCTTCACTCCCTCCAGGGCTCTTTTAGTAGCCGAGCAAATGCTGCTGCCCAAATCACAGGAAGAGAAAAGCAAACCAGTTTCATTTCCTGGCCCGAGTGCCTACCTTCTCATTTCAATAGCTTTCCCTCCAAGTTCTATAATCATGAACGCTACTAATAATATAGTAATATGATAAGACCCAGCTTCGTGAATATAAATTCAAAAACTGGAACTCAGGATTGAAAAGACAAAAAAAAACAAAACACTAGTTGAAAATACATACGCAACTAAGCTCATGATCTTGCAGGTTGGCATCAGATGGTAACTCAACGCCTTCTGCCGCTTAGCGGGCCGCTCACACTGAGCCCGCCCGCCTTCTCAGGTGTCTGCCAGCCTCCCGGACGTGAAAACACCTTCTTCAGAAAGCCATTGTTTCAGGAGACAGAGCCTGTTGCCCAACTATGACACTTCACCTGCTTTCTTAACTGGAAGAATATAATTTTTTGGTACTACTCTCCTGTTTCAACATCGCCTGCCAGGTATATACCTTTCCTTAACATCTCCTATGAGCGTTCTGCTACATGTGAGGCTACAGAGGGAAGGCCGGCACCCCGACCCGTGCTCGTGTAGGAGTTCACATCTACTGCACGGATCACAAGCCTGAGACCATGGTATGCACCTAGCCAGCATTACTTTGTTTCTCATAAGGACCCCGTGAAGTTCACACCATTATCATCTTCCCAGTTTACCTTAAGTACGGCATCTGAAACACAGGGCGTATCAGCAGCAGGCCAGGACTCCCTTCCATCCACCACACTATGTGTTTTCTCAACATGAATGCAGACATGTGTATAAACCTATGATGTCTGAGAGGTGCCATGGAAACCATGTGGTCCATGTGGATGGGTGAATTCGTAGTATAGGAGCTCTTGCCCATGGTTAAAAGTTCACTTTAGAGGCAGGAAGCCCCCTCTCTGCCTCCCCCTAAAACTTTCGTATTTAGGTAAATTAGTGAAAACAATATTCTTTACTTCACGTGTGAGGAAAGCTTCATGAATTTCTGGAGCATTTACATGATGGAAGAAAGGAGATAGGGTGGGGGGAAGAGGTCCTCGGGGCTTCTTTCTGTTCCAGAAGTAGGGATGAGACACACACACTATAAATAGCAGCTGCCTGCACTCTTACTATAATTATTAGTTATAAAATATTAGTGATAAACTCATTTCACTGAAGTTCACTTGGGAGGCATTCTTCCCAAGCTACTTACAAAGACCGGTGACCTAGGCACTGGACTGGCCGCTCAGCTGGCTAGAACATCATCCGGATACGCCAAGGTTGTGAGTTCAGTCCCCAGTCAGGGCATATACAAGAATAAAAAATAAGTGGAACAACAAGTAGATGTTTGTTTCTCTCTCAAAAAAAAAAAAAATAAAAAATAAAAAATCAATAAAGACAGGCTACTGGAAACTGAGAATGATAAAGCAGCCTGTTGTCAGCTAGCCCACTGACGGGCTTGCTTGCATCTCTTCCAGTTTTACTCAGAAAACTTTGTACAGTCCCCCACTCCTGCCTCCTAAGAATGAAATATAATAGTAAATGGTTTAAAGTATAATACTCTTATCTCCTTCTGAGAAATTTACCCTTAAAAGTTATGCAAAACACATTTTACAGCAGAAACTCCTTCCAGACTACTGGGGACATTTTTGGTTGGCACAGCTGGGAGAGGGGTGCTTCTGACATCAGGTGGGGGAAGGCCAGGGAGGCTCCTGGACAACACAAAGAAAAAGAAGGAAAGGACAAATGCTTCATGATATAAAATAACCTATTAATCTTTTATAAATTTTTTTTTGAGAGAGAGAGAGGAGAGAAGGAAAGGGAGAGAGAAAGAGAGGAAGAGAAACATTGATGTGGGAGAGATACACTGATCGGTTGCTTCTCACACGCCCCCAACTGGGGACCAGGCGCACAACCCAGGCCTGTGCCCTCACTGGGAGTAGAACTAGCAACGTTTTTGTTCCCAGGCCGGCGCTCAGTCCGTTGAGCCACACCAGCCAGGGCAAGAATCTATTCTTTTTAAGGGACACAAATAAAGCACATCCTGGATCTTAAAACTGCGGAATTACTTACACCATGGGGGTGGGATGGTGAGAGAAAGGGTTCAAAGTGGACATTTGGGGTCCATTGCACTTCATGTTATGCTCAGGGTCCTTAGCTGAAGAAACTCTAATGGCAAGTAAGCTCTGTACAGCTCAGCAGAGGGGACAGGACAGAGGAGACGTGAGTCCCACCTAGAAGCCACTCCTATTAAATCGGAGTGCTATTTTATCTGCTGTCCCTCCTCCTCCCTTCTTCACCAAGGCCGCCACACACCCAGACTCCGGCCCAGGAGTCCAGCTCTGCAAAGTCCTCCTCCGGCACGTTCACAATCGCCGGGGCAGTGGGGGCGGGGATCGTGGGGTGGGCCTGTGGGTGCGGCCCGTACACCCCGACCTCTGAGCGAACTCACGGTCCCCTCTAGGGGGACCCCACAGCTCACCAGGTGGGGGAAGGACGAACTCCAACCGGTTCCTTTCAGGAATCTACTCCAGGAACACCCGAAGTGGAATGGACCCCGTCCCAGATCTATGCCGACTCAGGGAGAAGAGGTGCTTTCAAGATCCTTCCGCGTACTGCGCCCTCAGCCAGGGAAGCCCATCCAGCCGCGGCTGGGTTTCCTACCAAGTGCTGGGTGTTGCCCCGGTCCCACACGCCCGCGCAGAGTCTCCCAAGGCAGCGCCTGCCCCTCCACGGCTCCTGCCGCCGTGGCGCGAGCCTGTGCGCCTCCGGTGGCCCCAGGTGGACCTTCACAGGCGGGGAACGCTCCCAGGTGCGCACTCACGGGCGCGCAGACTCAGGGGGCGCAGAAGCAGGGGCTGATGCCAGATGTGCAGAGCAAAGTGTGCGCAGAGAGGTGTGCAGGCGCGGAGACCGCCCCCAGGTATGGTGTGCGGAGCTGGGCGAGCAGTCAGGAGCGCACGCAGAGCCGCACACGGCAGGTCCCGGCAGGGAACCTGCAAACCACGGCCGGCGGCGCGCTTCACCAACTCACCTCCTCCAAAAACTTGGTCACATCGTACACTTTGTTATGCAGGATCAGCCAGGTGCTCTTGCTGTGGTTGTGCTTCTTGATCTCTTCCAAGGTGTAGTACGTGACGGCCTTGTCCGACGTCTCGGCCATTTCGGAACGCGGCGAGCTGCAGGCCCTGCACACACCAGCTGAGCCGGTCCGCTCACAGCGGGCGTTTCAACGAGCTAGGGCCGGGGCATTCCCTAGGTCCCGGCCCGGCGCCCGGGGCTGGACGACAGGCGCCACCGAGGGGGACGGCTTGCTGACGGCCTCCGATGATTGGCCAAAATCCGTGTCACTCAAGGGGCCCACCCTCGACGACACTTTCTACCAGCCCCAGCGCGCCCCGCCCTAGGCGGGTGTTGATTGGCTGAAGATGGTGCCTACTGTGCTCGGGGCGGGGCGTGGCGGGACGTCTCTTGCGCCTGCGCAGAAGGAGAGGAGGCGGGCCTGGGGGTGGGGGCTTGTGACCCGGGTGACTGAGCCGCACTAGTGTACGGGAAGTACCGGCCCTGCAAGACGGTCCACAGGGGTCAGGGCAGAGTTCACTATGTGCGAGGCAGGACCGTATGTCGAAATCGCCGCATTTCCCAGTCAAGTTATATCAGCCAGACCAAGGGACTAATTTCTAAGTCTGCCCCGCTGCGAGTCTCAGGGGTAAATTGTTAGCGTTACGTGAGACCTGGACGAGCCTTGCGGACTTTAGAACGTTAGTCTCCATAAAACGAGCGTGTTGCCCCAAAGAAATTGTCACTGCAATTTCGCTTGACTACCCGGGATTGCCCTGTTCTCACAGGAAAAACAAACTCATGGGAATTGTTATTAAAAGCAAAGACATTCTGGTTATTTCTGTATCCCTGGAGTACTTCGTAGCTGACCGCTGGCTTAGGCGTCTTTGTCTCGTCTCAACAACGTGTTGTTAAGGTGCGTCCTAAATGATGGGTAGCACCTGGAATAAAGTCTGGACGAGTACCTTCCCAGCAGACATATGAAGACTTACAAATGTTTGAGAAAAACAAAGATGAAAAGTTCCAGCATCTTAAAAAGTCATCTGATACTTACTGCCCTGGCGGATGTGGCTCAGGGGATTACGAGCTGGCCTGGGAACCAAGAGGTTGTGGTTTGGATTCTCAGTCAGGGCACATGCCTGGGTTGCAGGCCAGGTCCCCAGTAGGGGGCGCTCCAGAAGCAACCACACATTGATGTTTCTCCCTTTCCCTCTCTAAAAATAAATAAAATCTCTTTAAAAAGGCATCTGATATTTATTAAGGCCCTTTTCAGCAATGGTAATTAATTCCAAAAGAACTACACAACAGGGTGCACATGTAGGTCTCTTCCCCAGGACTGAGCACAGTTCCACATTCAGGTGCTAAATCAATGTTAGTGCCCACTCCTACCCTGCCCCTTGCCTCCTCCATAGGGATGCATGGCCATCAAGAAGAAAGTTTCCCAGGCAGTCCAAGTATTCTTCAACCTTTTCATATGATGGAATACATTGATTTTCAAATACTGAACCAGTCTTGCACCTCTGGAATAAACTCCACTTGTTTATGGTATATAATAATTTTCTGTACTAATGAAGTATATGTGAGTTTTTGCATCTGTATTTATGATAGTGTGTAGTTTTCTGTTTATGCATTATATCTGTCTGCTTTGGGTATCAGAGTAACACTGCTTCATGGAATGAGTTGAGAAGTTTCCCTTTTCTATTTTTCTGGAAGAGATTATGTACAATTGGTATTATTCTTTAAAAATATGGTAGAAGTATCCAGTGAAACTGAATAGGTCAGCAGATTTCTTCTTCAGGAGGTTTTATATTTTAATTTACATAAGTTATGGAATTACTCAAATTATGTTTCATTCTGGGTGAGCTGCGGTAATTTGTGCTTTTGAGAAATTGGCCCATTTCATCTAAATTGTTAAATCTATCCTTTTGATGTTTGCAGGGTCTGTAGTGAAATCCTGTTTGATCCCCATACTGTGACTTCTACTTTTTGTGGTCAACTTTGCTAGAGGTTTGTCAGTTTTACGATCTTTTCAAAGAGCCAACTTTACTTCTCTTTTGTTTTTTGTTTTTTCTATTTTCTTTTTTTCAATGTCATTGATTTCTGTTCTTTATTATATCCTTTCTTCTGCTTGCCTTGGGTTTATTTTCTGCTTTCCGCCCCCCCTCCCCCCCGGTTTCTTCAGATGTCAGTTTATTCAAAAGTTGTTCTCTTTTCTAATGTTTGCATTTCATGTTATAATTTTCCTGTATGTTTTTAAAATGGTAGACCAAAGTTACACATTTCCCTAACCGTTGTCAGGACTGCTGAATCTCCCCAAGACTTAGAGCAAAGCAATGCAACTCTTGCATGGATGGTTACCTCTGTAATCCAATGTCAAAACAGCTTCAGATTTCAGTCCACTTCCAAGTAGATCTAGAAGTGGTTAAAAACAATATGCTGGCACCCATGACCTAGATTCTCTCAGGCGTGGCTTATCAGATGCACGACTACGAGCCAGATGGTTAACTGTTCTAAACCACTGCTTATGGAAGGCTTAGCACAGGGGCTGGGCTCGTGCACAGACAGCAATCAACAGGCCGTGGCCAGTGCTATCAATATTATTGCTACTCAACAAGATTCCTTTATTCTAAAACAGGCACGAGGAAACAGCCTAGCTGGTAGGTGCTCCTGGGGGAAGTAAATCTAGGCAAATTTAAAAACAAACAAACTTGACAAATTAAAGGAACAGAAATACAGATTCCTCCTGACTCCCTCTCCAGCAAACAAATGTATAAATGTTGGGAACACCAACTTGACTCCTACGGTTCCTCAGATAAAAATATACTGTAAAATGTACTCAGTCTTCTATTCCAATATAAGACAAAAATAAGCAAACGTTATTAGATTTTAAAATCTCTGTTCTAATTTCTTATGCCACTTGTGCATAAGACTTACCTGAGCAGCTCTTCCCTGCCCCTTCAGGTAAATAGTTATATTTTCCATTATATAGTTACAACCATATTTGCACTATACCCATATCCATCTCTCTCAAAAATCATGTTACCATAGGGTAACTTTATCTTCCACAAAACATCTGTATCTCTAGCAAAGGCTTAATGGCCACCGAAACAAGAAGATATCTTCAGACCAAAACTGAAGGAGGCAAGTCCATAATATACAAGAGGATTTATCACAGGATAATGTGCTTACAGGAACGCAGGGTCCAAGCGGGCAAGACAACCTAGGGGGCCTGCAGAAATCATGCTCCGCTACAGACTCCTGTTGCTGTGCTTTTTCGATACTGTAACTCAGGTACTCGTCACTGACAAGACAATGGGACAGAGCATGAGCAGCATCAGGGGCCATACCTCCCCAGAGTTTTGGGATAGATCATAGTTTATAATCAATAGGATCACCAGTTCGATACTCATCTCAATTGTCATAGCATTCCAGCCCAAGGAAAATATTCATCGCTACACTTTAAGATACAAATGATTGCCAATTAGGCTTTTTTTCCAAAACTTAAATCATTTATTTTTCAATTACAGTTGATTAGAAGGCTTTGATATGCTCGCTATGGCTAGGAGGGTTGGCCATAGGTCACAACGTCAAACTTAAAAATTAAATGAAACCTGGGACACAGAGGCGGAGTTGTCGCTGGCTGCAGCTTCATCCCCATGCCCTCCTTTCCCTGCTTTCGCCAGTTACTGGCATCACCCTCTGCCATCCCTGCCACCCTGCTCTCCTGGGCTTTGGCAGAGCCCTTTTTCTTCTTCCAGCAGGACGAGGATATGCAAATGAACCAAGCACAGCGACTTTAGAGCTTGTCATAGTTTATTCACCTTGCGAAATGAAGCGTTGATGCCAATTCCAGTCCCTCTGATTCTCAAACCTCCTGAGGTGCACACCCAGGGAGGACCCTTTTTAGAAGCCTGTCCTTCCCAGTCCCAGCCCACTCTGTATGTTTGAGGGCAGCTGATGACAGTCTACCCATAAATACAATCTTAGACATCCAGCTGCTCTACGTCCAGGCCCAGGTGCATGTTGAGACCCGCCGCAGCCCCCACCTGGGTCTTGTCGTCATAGTTCTAATTTTCCTGTCTAAGGATATGACACTTCCCCAGGCCACCCTTCTTGAAAAACTTTCATTTTCACAGGGTCCTTGCCCAACCACAAAATACAGCCTAATCTTCATAAAAGACATACTACAGTCAAACTGGTGAATGGAATCTTTAGGAGGATTCTTTGCCATCTTGAATGACTGTGAGTGAGGTAAAGGGAAACATAAGTAACTCATTCACCTGGTAAATTGATGCCTCGTCATGAGCTTTGCGCTTTTTTGCTATGACTATGTGTCTTAGTCTAATTGATTTATAAGAGTTCTTTATATAATCTGAAAACTAGACATTTGTAGATTATATACGTGAAAATATATTCTTCCAATTTGTACCCTGTATCTTTACTTTGTTTTACTTTTGAAAAACAATTTTTTTCAAAAACCTTTTTATTAAAGTTCAAACATATACAAAAGTAGAGAGGAGAGTATGTGTAATACACAAAAGCACAGGTGATAATATGAACCTTCACTCACTTTCAACAATTATCAAAATATGGCCAGTTTTGTTTCTTCTTTATCACCACCTTCATCTCCCACGGGATGGTTCTACAGCAATGTCCAGTTGTATAATTTCATCCATAAATACTACTTCAATGTAGATGTCTATGAGATAAAGATCTTATCAACATTATCAAAGTAATGTTCCCATCTATAAAATAAATAATACAATTAAATATATGGTCAGTATACAAACTTTTGTCCCATACATGACTTTCTAGAGTATGTTTATTCAAATAAAGATAGAAATAAGGACCATATATTTCACCTTTTATGTGACTAGAATTGGACTATTTAGTATTTGGATGTTTGGTGACAAGAACGTATTTTAAAACTTCAAATACCTTTAATTCTCTTAAAATTATTGTTGAAGCCAGAGGCCACAAGTTCAATAGCGGAGATGTTCAGAACATGGGGTGGTACTGACATGTGCTTTTCAAAGTGAAGAACAGTTGGTTTTACACTTACTTAAAGAGAGAAGAAAGGCTGGTGGATATCTACAGTTATCATACAATTTAACTTGAATCTGTATTTATTTTTTAGCTTGTCTTCATGCAGTTTTTCCCTATGTAAATATTCCAGGTAGGATAAAGAGCTTTTCTGTAATCCTCAAAGGCTTGTTTTGATCATTCCAATGACTACTAACATAACACCTTCAGACTATAAATGTTTAGGACATTAAATTCGTTGGAATGGTTGTTTCAGAATACTGTATTTTGTCCCCTTACTGTCGTAAACTGTTATAGGAGGCTGGTGTTGCTCACCAACCTTTTGCTAATTAGTCACTTACTATGATCTCCTCAACTGCGGTTACACATAACCTAACAACAGGTAATTATTGAGCACTTTCTTACTGAGTCAGGAGGATATCTAAAAACATTCCTCCTTGCCAAAATTGATTTTGCAAATAAAATAAGTAAATCACTCTTACACTGTAAATCAAACATTAACACAACACAAAACCTCATTCTTTCACAGCATGCCTGCTGGAACCTGGTAAGATGTAAAGCTGAAAAGTACCAAATCTCTCACCGGATAGAAACTTGCTGGCATTCCACTCACACGGTTCCTCGTCGCCTCCCTGAACTTCCGTTGGACTCTCCCAGGATTCAGTGTTTGGGCTTTTTTTCTGTCCACACTCACTCTCTTGGATATCTGACCTGGTCTCATCGTTTTAAATATCATCTATTATCAATATATACAGATCTTTCCCCGGAACAACCCCCGTTCACTTCTCAATGTCAACACGCCCAAACACAAATTCCTCCTGACCTCCACCCCAAACTTGGTCCTCGGAGTCTTCCCCTTCTCAGTTACTGCCAACCCCGTCCTTCCAAGTTCTTCGTACAAAAACTTTGCAGCCATGCTTGCCTCCTCTCTCTGACCCCGCACCGACCCGTATCCCGAGCCCATCAGATCTAGCTTCCGAGTTCCTTCGTAACTCCAGTCATCTCATTGCCGCCCTGCCGCTACTCCGATCCAAGCGCGTCCTCTCTCTCCTGGGTCGCTGCCGCAGCCTCCTAACTGCTCTCCTCCCTGCCCTCTTCAGTCCGTTCTCAGCAGAGCAGCCTGGGAGAACCTGCTACAATACCGCAGAGCTGATCGGGCCTGATTCTGCTCCTCCGCGCTTTAACCTGTCTGGTGTCTCGTCGCTACTTCGCATCGCATTCCAGCGCCACTCCGGCCAACCGATCGCCCTCCTGTCTCAGGCCTTTGTACTCGCTGAGCCTTCCCTTGCAATGCTCTCCCCCCAACATGCCGTGGTCGCCCCCTCCCTCGTCCTCCGTGTCTTACGTGTTGCCTTCTCCCTGCTGCCTCCTGACTTCTGTAGCAGCGTCTCCCGACAGTCCCTGCGTCCTTTTCCCGCTTTATTTCCCTCCAAAACACCAGCCACCACACTAACCTTTTGGTCATTTATTATTTGTCCTCGCTTAGCAAGTAAAATGTAAGCCCCATGGATGCAAGGGATGTTGTTTGTTTAATGCTCCATCACTAACTCCTAGAAAAGCTCCCGGGACATGGCAGTCGCTTAGGAAAAAATGTGTCAACCTAAGGAGAGGCGCCTGTACGGCGCTTGCCCCGGGCCTCCCCTTCAAGCCATGCTGCAGGGCGTTCCCGTCATGGACCGTTCAGCCACCGCAGCTCGGGGCCGCGGTTCCCGAGAGAAGAGCCGGTGTTGGCACCCGTGGGTCCCGGCCAGGAGGCCCTTGCCGTCCGCGGAGAGGAAAACTTCACCCCGCGTGATAGGGCCCCTGGGGGGCCGCAGGCACCCAAGCCCCGCGCTGACCGCGCTGGCGGGCAGGGCAGCCTCAGACGCCCACGTCCACCCTGAGCGTCGGCGTGCTGCGGCGTCCCACGGCAGGCCAGGAGCACGTGGTGCACGGGGCATGCTGGGAGCTCTGGGGAATGCAGGGAACGCGGGGCACGTCTGGAGAGCTGGTGCTGGGCATGCTGGGATTGCAGGGTCGGCCCGGGCAAGTGGAGCGCGGGGCCTGCTGGGAGTGGCGCTGGAGAGCAGAGGGGCGAGTAGCTGCGAGCGGCAGGCCCACCGAGGTGAGGCCAGACGCAGGACATCTGCTGAGGGGGCCCGAGGGAGGGAGCGAAGGAGGCCCCCACAGCTTCCTCAGGTGAAGGAGCAGGCCCGCTGCTCCGCCTCAGGAGGCGTCAGCCGGCAGGCCCCGCTTTTGGTTTCCAGGGGCATCTTGTGGGCTCGTTTTTCGCAGCCTGGCCGGGATGCCCGTCGCTTGGGAAGTGGGCACGCGCCGGCTGTGGCGGTGGCTGTGGGCGGGAGGACGCACATTCAGGGCGGCCCTCGGGGTCCGGCCGTCGGAGCGTCTCCCTTGTTGGTCATTGATCGGCACCCTGGAAACAGGCTGTTTAAACTGAGGAAAGGCCTCGAGGTGCTGCCGCGCCACCCCGCGCTGCGGGCGAGGACGCGAGGCGCGGAAAGGGAAGAGCCGAGCCTGTCGCACTTCCGGTCGGAGCTTCCCCGGGTCGCGGAGGCGCGAAGAAAGGCCGGAAGTGGCTCCGACTTAACGAGGCCGGGGCCTGCGCTCGAGGCGTTGGCTTCCCTCCGGGCCTACGTCCCGGGGCATAGAACTGGGGCGGGCGCCTGTGCTTGCGGCTGAGCGGTCCCCGGAACCGTGCGCTGAGGCTTCGTCCCGACGCCGGATGTAGTTTCCTCGGCTGCGCCCGGAAGCTACAGGTCGTGTCGCGCTCATTCGGCCTTGGAAAAGAAGGCCAGCTTTCAGTCTGCGAAGCGTGCTCGTTGTGAACCTAAAAACCGCTGAAGGTGGCTCTCACAGTCCAAGTAAACACGTTGTGGCCTGTCCCCTAACAGGCCAGGGCTGTGTACGTTCACCTTCCGGCTCAGCCTCTGAAGACCGACGGTGTTTAGCGGGACAGGGAGCTAGAAAGCAATCTCGGTAGGGGGTGTGTTTTAGGGATAAAAGTGGCGTCGCAGGCGTCCGCCCACCGTGATGTGACCTGCTTTCTTTACAACACCCGGAGCTGGGGCCCTGGGCGCCGGCCGTGGGCCGTGATCGCGCCGGTGCTGTCTGTTTCTTTCCCATTCGTTAGGATGCCTTTTTCTAAAGCGCGTCCCAGGAAGTGACTTGGGGCAGAATTGGGGGGGAGGCTGTGTTCGCCTTGGAAACTGCAGTGTGCACTGCTGTTCTGGTTTGTTTTGTTTTTTTTGCGTTTCACCGCAGTAGGCATTTGATAGGAGGGAGCGGACGTGCAGAGAAGGAAGGACTCTTTTACTCTTAGTCTCGGAAATCGTCGGTCGTCAATCCCTTGTGCGGATTTGCTTGTGAACGTTCGGAGGGCACTTTCCGAAGAGCCCCGCGGCCTCTAACTATGAGACCCTCAAACGCCCGCGGGCTCCCTCCGAGCGGGGGCTCCACAGCCCGGCTCAGACTCCGCCCCCGGGTGGCCTTCGCCGCGGAGTCTCCGCGTCTGGTCACGAAGCCGGCAACGGGGCGGGCGCGGGGCGCGGGGCGCGGGTCGCTGCTCTGGTTAAAGAGAGAAGGTGTGTTGATGGCAAAAGGGTTGGAGTACTGGGAACTCAGCTTCCTCCCTGATGTGTCTGAGCCCGTTAGAGACGTGGAGCCGAAATTCCCGTTTCTTTTTAAAGTAGCACAGAAGGCAGGCTTCACCGGTGTGTGCTGTGCCTTACCAACTCTCAGATGGGTCCCTAATCCAGGCTTTGCAGCCAGGCAGTTAGCGGAAGAGGAAACTAGGCAACTGATGGAGTCAGTAAACGTTTTCTTTGATGTGAAATGATGAAAAATATATTCCTTAACCTTGAAGTACTCCGCAGAGATAACCTGAAATAGCAGAACACTTTGCTGTATGTTTTCATTTTTTCAAAACTATTATTGTCATAGGAATGATCAAAATGAAACCTTAAGAACAGCCAGGAACTTTAGAAAGACTTTATTAACTAACGACAATATGATAGAGGTGTCTCTAGTACCTAGAGCAGAGTAGGCATTTAATAAACAGTGTTGGGTTTTGTTTGTTTTGGGTATGATTTGTACTCAAATTATTCTATTTGTTGGTATAAAACTTCAGATTTTAAATTTTAAATTATGTATTTGGGGTGACAAAAGTGTTCTGAAATGAATTGTGATGGTTGCATAACTGAGTGAATAGATAAAACCCATTCAATTGTACACTTTATTTTTTAATTTATTTTTAGAGAGAGGGGAAGGGAGGGAGAAAGGAGAGAAACATCAGTGTGCGGTTGCCTCTTGTGCGCCCCCTACTGGGAACCTGGCCCCCAACCCAGGCCTGTGCCCTGACTGGGGATGGAGCAGGCGGCCCTTTGATTCACAGGCTGATGCTCAGTCCGCTGAGCCACACCTGCCAGGCAATTGTAGACTTTAAATGGGTGACTGTTATGTTAGGTGAATTATATCTTAAAACACTTACCAAAAGAATTCTAGGTTATCAGAGACCCTTAAAGGTAAAATGGCAGTGATATTTAACTGCTGAAGTTTGCTAATTTGTTTTTATTATCTAATTTCAACACAGTATCAAATATTCTGATGAGCTGGTATTGAAATGCTGTTGGTAAGGTAGTTCACTGACTTTCTATTGCTATATGTTTGTTTTGAAGGGCTGATTGCGGAGACGGTCGGCCAGCCCGAGAGGATGGCCGATTCCAGGCGGCAGTCGCTGTTCTTCGCCACGGTTCCAGATTTACAGAGACTCTGTGCTGTCCGGATAGTGCTGCGCAGGGGGCCGGCAGACCCTGAGGTTCGGAGCACACAAATGAAGATGTGCAGGTTAAAAATACATTTTACAACTACACTTTCTAACGTTTTTGAGACCTATAAGGGCAGTTTTTAAACAAAATACTCCTTCACTCATTCTGTGTATATAATTGTAAAATAAGTTCAGTTTTGTTCTGTCCAGGTATATTTAGGGAAGGACTGAAAATACTTGAGGTAGACTATCTCACGGTTGTTATATTTATGACATCTTGTGTGGACTTTTAAAAATTTTAAAGGCATTGATGAATTAAATCAGGTTTCCCCGAAACTTAGAAATAGTAATTTATAAATATTGAATACCTTCTGTTTATGAGGCACTTTAAGAGATACTGTGAACATTTTAGATTAATATAATTTCTTAATATTCAGGTTAATATAAGAGTATTTCTGAAGAGTATCTCTCCAAGAACTCTCTTGAAATGTATATCCCAAAGTAGCCTTTGGAGAGCAGCTGAGCTGAGGACCTGCCATATGTTAGTCCCTGGAATGGTGTGAGGCAGTCAGGGGAAGACACTGAGAATACGTGGCAGGATTTTCTACCTGTGACTGAGTTTCTTGGAGATGAACAAACACTTCTAAGATTGCTAGGGGTCTCTTACAAAACTTTTTTCACCCCACTATACATGTCTTTGCCCAGGGGCATCCAGCAGCCTGTACCCTTCCTGCTAACGTGTAATGTTATGTCCGTTGAGCCATCGCCTGTGACCCCTTCGGGAAACAGGTAGAAAACTGTACGTGGGCTTTTCTGCCATTTGCTCTCGCATTGAAGGAGACCGTGGCCCCAGAGCGGGGTGTTTGAACTCGTCCTCCCGGGACCTGAGGGGCGGAGGCAACGGCAGGCCCTGCGGAACCACGGCTCTGGCGTTCTGGCAAGAGGGCCGCCAGGGACAGTTGTCTCGCCTCCCCGTGCACGCACTCCCGTGGTTTTTACACTTGTTTCATGATGATTAGTAATTTGGGAAATGTTTATATTTCCAACTCTATTCCTTTTTATGTTTTCCACACCTTCCCCTTGACTTTTGAAGCAAAATTATTGATGATAATTTGAATTGTAATTTTTGTTCTGTGTTCATTTGGCCATTGAATGCTAAATTAAAACCACTAATGTCATTCTGGCTTGGGGAAAAAAATTCATTTTTGCAGGAAGAGAATCTAGTCAATAGTTCTAACATTGAAGGAGTTGATAAGTTCACTGATAGTTGAATCCTTAGACCATTACCCCTGTTCCCCCGACCATGTAAAAAACAAAGGAAAATGGAAGAAACTGGAGTTAGAGGAGATGGATTCTTCAGTGGTAGGACTTCTTCAAGTCTATAGTTAGGGTGGAAATAGGGTTTTAAAAGTGGAACTCACGTTCACAGAGGAAAGAAGTTGGGACATTCAGATTCAGGGACAAGTTTGCATATTAATATCGATACCTAAACTTTTAAAATTTTATTAATTCAAATCTTGGCTGAGTGCCTATAATGTTTAAGGTACCATGCCAAGTGTGGGGAGAGATACAGAAATCTATAACACAGTCTTTGCCTGGAAGAGCCTTAAACTTTTGATTGGAACTAAGTAATTTTTTTTATTGATTGGTTTTAGAGAGAAGGAGGAAGGAAGAGAGAGAAAGAGAGAAACGTTGATTTGTTGTTCTGCCTATGCGTTCAGTGGTCGACTCCTGTGTTTTCGCTGACTGGCAGGGGGGTTGGGGGGTGCTCCAACCGACTTAGCGACCTGGCCAGGGCCAGGGCTAAGTTGTTTTTAAATGTTCTGTGAAGGTAAAAACAGACAGTAGGCAAATCCACTTTAAAATGGATACATTTTATCTCCACAGGCAATTGCTGTTTTTACACGAAGATATTCTTGCATCGCCTGTGCCTGGAATATTTAGCCAAATTTGGGTGGTGATGGCGGTTAGTATTTTAACATTTTATAAAGTATTGTTACTAATTACTTTGGGCAATGTTAACACACACTAATTCAAGTACTACTTATAGCTCAAATTGAGGATGGTTTATGAAGACAGATTACATTGTTTTGTAGTTTAATCGAACCACTAACAAACTTTGACATACCTGATGTTTAAAATTCATTTTTGCGGTTCTAATATATTTAGTTTTCCGTGTCATAAATGTTAAGATAAAGACTAGGAATGAGTATGTTATAGCAGAATTTTTAAAGATAAAATCCTTTTCTCATATTTTGTTCTTTAGAATTACACTTAATGTAAAGGAAGAAAGTGCTCATTCCAAGAAATCTCTACTTGTTTTTAAAGAATTTAGATCAACATTTTTTTATTTGAAAATTTATTTTAATTTTTACACTTAATAAAAATTATATTTCCCAGTGCTATATAAAATGGGGAATGATAATGAAGTACCAGGTATTTTTATAAAAGTCATAGTATCCTGAGCTTTTTGTCAAAAATCTTTCTGAAAATCCTCTTACTCTGAAATTTTAATTTCCCAGAATCCAGTGATATCAACATTTATTAACAGTGTTGATAAGCCATACAGAATATTCAGGTCTTTTGTTTTTCTTCTTATCCTTAACATAGATTTTAAGAAAGAAAAGCTGTTGGTGAACAGGTAGACACCAATACCTCTTAATTGTGTTTTCTTTTACCTGAAAACTTTATGAAACAAAGAGGAGATTGTTTTAGAGTTCTAATCGAATATCCAATCTTGGAATAGCCATCTAAAAAATGTTTTGCTTTTTAATAAATATATTACATGCTATAAAAAATACAAAAATATTTAAAATGGGCTTATTATGCATAGTATTTTGAAACTTGCCTTCAATTTTCTCTTTAACAGCCTCTCCTGGATATTCTGTGTCAGTACATGATTCTTTCTCATTTTTAATGCTGTGAAATTTTGTTGTATGGGTATAAAATAATTTAATTATCACTTTCTAATGCACACCTTGAGTTTCTAGTTTTGCGCTCTTGCAAACAGTGCTTCAGAAAGCAGCATTGAAATTCTATCATTTGCATTTGTCTGGTAGTTTCTATGGGTTGAATTCTTAGAAATGAGATTGCAGCACATTTCAACTATACTCCAGATACTGTGAAACTGCTCTCTGAAAAGCTGTACTAGATTACATTTTAACAAATCGTGTTTGAAAAATTCTGTATTTCCACATCGCCACAGACACTGGATATTTGCAGCCTTCACACACCTGCCAATCTTCTAGGTCACCAACACTGTCTTTTAATTTGTACGGCTTCCATTGGTGAGCAGGTGTGCCTTGGCGGTTTGAACTTTTTCTTGACCTTCCACTTATGTCCCTTTTCCTTGTTAATGTCTAAGAACTTACTATATATAAAGAAATATATTAATATTAATTATATGAACGTTGTTGGCCTCTTTCCTCATACGGCTTCTGGGTTCCTGTCGCCCCAGACAGGCTCCTGCGCTTGGAGGGAGCGCGCCCGCGGGTGTGTTCCGGGGCAGGTCGGCCGTCGCCGGCGTCTCCTGGCGCAGGAGCTGTCGGGGACGTCCGGGTTCTGTGCTCTCTGCTGCATAGTCTTGATGGTCTTTTAGGTGTTGCTTTATTTAATAATACATTTGTTGAGTCATTTTTATAAATGTCTGTTTTTGTTGTAGATACCATTTTATAAAGCTGGAAAACTTAATGCCTATATTGAAAAATATGGAGCTAAGGTAAGTTTTTAAAAAGATAATAATTCCAAATGTTGATACTGATTTTGTAGTCAACTTTTTTTGTCAGCCAACAAAAATTGGAGTATATTTCTCATAAGTTACTGCTATGCATGTGTAAGAGGAGAGCAATTTGTTTCATTTAGTAGAGATAGTGGGGAAGGGGGCTTAATTTTTGTTGGGTACTTTCTTGTGGGCATTTTACATGGCATAATCTAACTTACAATGTAGCTCCTGGAAGTTAATAGTCTCATTTTACAGATGAGGGAAATGAAACCCAGAGAGATAAAAAATTGTTCATAACAATGTAGCTAATAAGTGGAGGCACAAAGCAGTGTACATGGTATTCTTGGGGACAATTTCTGGATCTTAGCAAGGAAAATAGGAATAGTGTGCTGAGCGCCTCATGTGTCCCGGTTACCGCGGCCATGGTGACGTGGCTGGCGCTCACATCCCGTCTCTACACGTGTCTCTGAGCACTCTTCCCTCCATTACCCCGGCAGGCTAACCCGCTGGGGCCCTCGAGAGCACGGCTTGTGGTCCTCTCTGAGAGGAGACGCGTCCTTTAGGTTCTAGGAGGACGACGAGGTCTCCCCAAGCCCAGAGGTGCTCACACAGTCTCCCGAGGAGCCTCTGAATCACCGGACAGTGGGGCTCAGGCATCAGTCACAGTCTGCGGGAGAGGGGTGCTCTTTAGGGACAATGTGGAAGAGTTTTTCTTTAATCTTTGTGCTAAGACAAGCCTGAACTATGAAAACTAAAGTTACAGTGTATCATGTACCTGGAACTAGAAACTAGGTCTTCCAGGGATCTCTACAAACCTTTGTCTTTTATTGAGGAGAGCGTCTCAGAGTTTAGTGGAGACCCCTTTGCTGTCTTACTTGCTGCTCTTGGAGAACTTAATCTTATTAATATATTGATCTAAATGTCAAAATGGTGTTGTCTTTTGACAAATGTATCACAAAAGCAATAGATACAACATGATTTTAGAGAGAAATTCTAAAGATTAAAACATTTTTAGCGTAAGAACAGATCACATTTCAGTATTGAATTAGTAAAAGAATATTTATGGAGGCAGAGACAAATGTATTTGAAAAAATAAATTAAAATAAAATTAAAAAAAGAAAATAAAAGCCAAACCAGACACCACCATTAAAAAAAAAAGAATATTTATACTAAGTACCCTCATTTTATATGTATCTTAAGGTTATAAGAAAAGTAAGTTAAGAAATACAGCTTCTGCAGTCATTATACACTAATAAAAACACACTCTATGAAGTATTTTCTTCTAGTTTTTTATACTTCCATCTTTGGCCTTATCACTGCAAGTTGTCCGGTGTCCACAGTCTTTTTGTTCATACTCTTACTGTTTCTCCACTTGCCCAGTTCCTCATTGTTACTAAGTAAACGTGCTTTGTTCCCTTCACCAGACTTCCAGATCCCAAATGCCTTGATATTCATTAGCTTCCTCCCAGCCTGGCTTTGTTACCCTCTTGGGCCTTCGTGGTTATGCTCAATTTTTCTCATTATGGGCACTTTCTGGAGAATAGTAATTGTAGTCAGCAGGTATTTATTGAACATCTATTATATGCTGAGCCACTCTACTTGCTTCTAGAGTAAAAGCTATAAACCAGATACACTCCCTGACCTCAGAAATCTTATAGCAGGAAAAATTTTCCTCCTTTTTAAAAAGTTTTTGGAGTTTGTGTAGAATTTTTATTATTCCTTCTATAAATGTTTGGTGAAATTCACCAATAAAGTTACCTGGGCCTGGAGTTAAGCATAAAGGAAGGATTTTAACTACAATTCAGTTTCTTTAATAGATAATAGAGCTATTCGAGTTCTCTATTTCAAGGATCATACCTATTTCATTGAAGGTGTCAGACTGATGACATAAATTTACTTACAGTATTTGCTTGTTTTCTTTGGCTGTAGAGTGATGTCTCCTCTCTTATTCTATATATTGGTAGCCTGTATCTTTTTTTCCTCCCTTACCAATCTTGCAAGAGGCTTCACAGTCTTACTGATCTCAAAGAACAGCTTTTCGTCTCACTGATTTTCCTGTTTTGTATTTCATTGATTTTCATTTTGGCCTTTATTATTTCTTCTCTTATGCCTACTTTGGGTTTATTTCTGTGTTATTTTCTTTATGGGGAGGTGCAAACACAAATAGAACGTGATCTTGTGCAGTGGTGAGGATAGCGCATTGGGAGTAAGCAGGAATAGGCATCAGCTGTAACGGAGGGTACGGTGGACTGAGGTAAGCGAGTGCATCCTGGCAGGGGCCTGGAGCCGTCCAGCCCCGTGGTGAGGGGCGGCGCCCCCGGCCCGCGCAGAGCGTGAAGCCTCTCCTCAGGCCACGCTGCCATTTGGTTTATGCTTGCTGTAGTCAGTTTAAGTTTTTAATTCTCTTCTTCCCCAAGCCCTCCCCGACACACCACCAGACCGTGAGCTTCCCCCCTAGGGTAAGCTCCGGTAAGGCACGGGCTGCGTCTGCTGCTGCTCACTCAGCGCAGAGCTAAGCACAGGACAGGCGTCCAGTGGCTGCGGTGAAGGAATAAATGAGTAAACGCATCTCCCCTGAATCCTTGTTATCAAAAATAAATGATACTTATTTTCCTTTTTCTAGTTTCTTAAGGTGGAAACTGAGGTCCCTGATTTGAGGACTTTTTCTTTTCCAATATAGACTCACTTAAATGCTATAAATTTCCTCGTAAACATGTTTTGCTTTGATTTTCCTCAGTTCAGAATACTTTCTAATTCCCCTTTGATTTCTTTGATCTGTGGGTTAGTTAGAAGTGTGTTACGTAGTTTCCACATATTTGGGGCTATTCTAGGGATTTTTTTTTTAATCCTCGCCTGAGGATATGTTTATTGATTTTAGAGAGAAACACCAATGTGAGGAACGTCAATCAGTTGCCTCCCATATGCATGCCGACCATGGATTGAACCACAACCTGCTGGTGTAAGGGATGATGGTCCAACCAACTGAGCTCCCCAGGCAGGGCCAGAGATCTGTTACTGTTTTCTGATTTAACTGTAGCTAGAGAACGTGTTTTATATGACCTGAATGTTTTAGAATTTATTGAGGTTTGTTTTATGGTCCAGAATACGGTCTATCTTAGTAAGTGATTCTTTTCTTCTTGAGAAGAAGGTGCATTGCGCTGTTGTGTCAGGTAGTCTATAAATGTAACACTAACAAAAGTTGATAGTGTTAAGGTACTATATTCTCACTTATTTTCTGTCTACCTGTTTTATCAATTATTGAGAAAATACGGTACAGGATTTGCCCCTGACTATAGCAGAGGGATCAGTGAGACCCCCTTTGGCCTGGAAGGCATCCAGGCCACCAGTCAAGACGTCTGTGAGCAACAGGATTGCCCGAGCCTCCCTCTTGGCTGCTGTGAGCCGCCACTTCCTGCTCTGCCTGGGTTAATGCCTCAGGCCAAGGGGGCATCAACACAGAACCAGGGCCACGGGGCTTCCTGAGGGAGATCCTGACGGGGGATGGGATTTGCTCAGCTGCTTGGGCCCTGGGCCCTGGGGCAAGTGTGAGGCCACATTGCAGCTTGGCCTCGTCCCACTGCTCGGAGTCCTGCTGAGAGGGGCCCTAATTTCCATGAGGCAAAGGAACAGACTGGGTGCTTTCCCCTCACAACAGATTAACCGCTGGCATCCTGGGAAATCACCAGAGGCCCAGAGGGTATGAAAATGAGGGTGGGGAATGCTGGGAGACAGTCTGCCTCGGCACTGCCATTCTTCCGCGTGTCCAGCCGGCAGAGGCAGCCGCAGCCGCAGCCGCAGCAGGAGCATTCGCCTCTGGACTGTGTGTGCACAGGCGTTTGTAGAGAAACCAGCCTTGGTCCTTCCCCCAGCCGGAGTGGCTCCTCACACGCTTGTGCTCACCCACGCTCAGCCGCATACTCATGAGGAGCTCTGTGGCCTCAGGGTGCGCTCTCCGTGCAGCCCTCTCATCGCAGCTCTTTACCCCCAGACCCTCCCTCCCTTGTCTCCCTGGGCTGTCAGCTCTGTCTCCTCGACCCAGGGAGTCCCTTGGCTCTCCCAGGTCCCCCCACCGCCACCCCAAGCCCCAGGCCCGCCGCACGGCAGCCTGGAAAACCCTCTTCAGTCAGTGTGTTGGTTTCTGTCTCTCTGGGACTGCTTTTCTCTGTTGCTTGATGTCCAGCATCCTCTGAACCATTTTTCCGTATGACCCGCCCCATTTTTAGTGTTATCCCAGGAGGGAGGATAAATCTGCATCCTAGTATTCTCATTGGTCAGAGACCCTAATTTTAAATTCTCTACAAGTAGAGATGCTTTGCTAATTGGTCCCCATGTGAGTATATCATTGTTTTCAGGTGCTGAACTAGTGTGAACAAGAGAAATAGTACAGCATAGATCTGGTCTGTTCCTTCTGCTTAGAGCAGACTGCAGAGTGCGGTGTAAGGCCCTAGCACAGGGGCTCCGGAAGTCTCGGTTCTTGGGTCAGGATGGGGCGTGACGGCAGTCACGGCTTCGAGGTGAAAATAGCGGACGCTTCTCTAGCCTCAGTGACGACTACAGCTTACATCCAGAAGAGCCCAGCGTGTTGGGCGGTGGTCTAAACACAGGCATTCTCTGGGAGTTTATAGCGATGTACCGACTGCTGTGTTTGCTCATGTGTTGTCCTTTTACCTTTTTAGGCAGAGGCGCCACAAAGAGTAATTCCTGTAATTCTTCAAAACTGCCTTTCGTATTCCCTCACGGCTAGACTTGCTCCAGCCTGGAATAAAACTGGCCATCTCTTGGTGCAAGGTGACTTTCTCTCTTTCAGTCATTGTGACTTTCAGAGGCAGATTACTTCAATCACGTGAATCTGCGCTTAGGAAATAGCTGTTAAAGCACAGCCCCAGCCAAGCATTCGCAGGCAAGCCCACAACAGCATCAGTGCCATCTCCTTTTTGGGGGTTACACCCAGGGGCCGGCTGGTGTTTCTTTAAAGAGGATGTGCTTATTATTTAATACTGATGCTTAGAAAGAAAGAAAGAAATATAAGTGATGGGCATTACTGTAAAATAAACAAATTACCAATATTGCTGGAACCAGAAGGGTATTCTGAGTTTTGTGTTGAGGTCTGACCATTTTCTAAGCATTTTATACTACAGAATAAATATTTGAGAGTATAATAAGGTATTTTTGTCCTTTTAATTCAAAAGATAATTTTTGAATGATTACTTTTCTTTCTGAGCTGACATGTCTTTGTATAAAACTGCATACTAAAGCATTTTCCTTAGCTTTGATAATTTTACATAAAAAGGTTGTATTTATCAATCATGATTTATGGGTTATAATAATATGGCATATCCTGTCAATTTTTTAAGGAAGAGAGTTTCTTTCTCAGATGGGAAAGCAAAATGCCGTTGGTAAGTAAAAATGTTTAAGTTAATAGATGAAACATTAATATAATCAACAGTTGTTAAACAGTGTTATAGACTCTTGAATTCTTATAATCTGGTGATTAGGTTATATCAGAATATAAACAGATGTTATTGTAATCACAATTTCACCTGGGGAAATCACCTCTGGTTCAAAATACATAGCCTAGCTCATCAAGAAAAATTCACTTCTCTCAATTTGAATAAAAGCTATAAATTTTTTATTTCTTAAAAGAAAATAACTATGAAGAACTTTAAGTCTTACAGCCATTTATACTGTGTAGTTTCCAGTAAAAACTTTATTTCTTATGAGAACATGATTCTTCTTAAAAATAAAAGTCTAAAGAGACACAGATGATCTAAAATAACAGTTTATCATAATTTAATCAGTGATATGCATGGCTGATTTGAAGGTAGACAGTTTCCTAAACAGCACTCCCAAGACAGCAGATAGCTGGACATGCAGACGTTACTAACCAGTCCTGGTAGATTGCACCGCCATTGGGCCACAGCCCCAAATCCTGGGCTAACGTCTGCGACCCACAGCCCTTCGGTCTCAGTTGCCCTCCTTGCACTAGTTCTGTGCTTACGTTGGACAGTGGCCACCCTCGTACTCTAGCTGTGGATGAGTGGGTTCGTTCCTAAATTTAGCTTCATCCATGACTACTATCAGGGTACAGCGGCTGTTGAAGACTAAAGATAACAGTTAGTAGAGCGAAGTTCTCCAGTTCTGCGTTAGAATTTGTTCTTTTAGTTTACTGAATGTAATATTCTATTGCAAAACTGACAGATTGGAAGTATATAATTCATTGGATTTTCACAAACTAAACTCACTGTTACAACCCATTCTCAGGTCAAGAAACAGAATTTTGCTAGCACCCCACAACCCCCCTTCCCCACTTTCTTCTAGCTCTTACCCCTTCCCAGGGTAACCGCTGTCTGGCTTGAATAAGTACTTTTAATTAAGAAAAAGCAAGGCGGAAGCCTTGAGGCTGTCGGATCCAGAGCACCTGCCAGAACACCTGAGGGCATCTGTTAGGAAAAGACTGCTGGGGCCAGAGTCAGGAGCTGAGGAGACAGCCTCCGTTTTTCACACAGAACAGACGTCAGACTTGTACAGGGAACTTGTTGAGCTTCCCTTTCAGTTGTGGGACCTCATTTTCCTTACTGCCAGCCTGCCCTGTGATGCCCCCCAACCCCCACCCCCAACATGGCCATGTTGTGTCAGCCTCAGTCTTTCAGGGCCTGTCAGGTACAGTGTGGGGACTGACTCTTGCCACGTGTGAAAAATCCATTCTTAACTGAGTTTCCAACTTGAATAAACTAAGTTAGTTTCTTTTGTTACTAAAATACTTAATTTGATAGGATGGAGTCATAATCCCAGAAAATTTACAATTAAATATTTTATTTTCAGTATTAGACATCAATGTAACAGAAAGTCAAGTTTGTCTAAGTGTAGAAGCTTACACAGTCAGACTGCCGCCACCTGAGGTACGGCATATTTTTATTTCTATAATTAACTATTATATTTACTACATATGTAATATATTTCTTATTATTACTTTCTAGTAGGTTTTAATTTTTTAATATGAGTGATAAGATTTTTAAATTTTCAAAATCCGTATTAAATTCTTGATATAGATACTGTTCTAAGTCTGTTTACCCAAAGAAATTACTGTCCGCCCACCACAGACCCAATAATGTCATTCTCTTGCTCAGAAGTCTCTTTAGTGACCATCAAGACTCCTGTCCCGCCTCGGCGCCCACTCCTTGCCTCCTCTTACGCTCCCAAACATTAAAAGCAGGGCTTCAGCTTGTGCTGAATGTAACATCCCCACTGGCATTCTGGTGGCATTTTCTTCTTTTGTGTCTACTCTTTACACAGAACACTTCTTGCTTTATTTTGCTATTCTCATAGCACCCAAGTACATGGCTTAACTGGTTTTATCTGCATAAAGAATTCTCAGGCTTGGTCTCTATTTTATTTATTTTAACAGACATATGGTCACACTCTTTATTACTGAAAAAGATGGGCAGCTCTGGGAGAAGGTGCCCGGTCCACCTAGAGTTAGGCAGACTGACCCACCTGCAAGCGGCGGCGTGGAAACCCACGGGTTCCGGGGGGGAGATCAGGCCCCGTTCCCTGCACAGCAGAGCATGCACGGCACTGCTATCTGCCCGCAGGCCACTCCCAAGGGGAAGAGGAAAGAGTGGCCCCAGTTTTTCTCACCAGATAGGTTGCCTCCTCTGCCCTGGAGAGGAACGAAGGAGGCGCCCAGTGACGTCAGGGTGGCAGAGCTCTTGCCAGCATGGAGGCACAGGCCAGAAATGAGGAGGGTGCTCTGCTCTTCCCTCCCAGCCCGGCGTTGCACGCTCCGTTCAGCATGCTCACTCAGTTCCTGCCTGCATTGTCGTCTGGCAGCAGCTCCTCTCTAGCCCACCTGACCTTTTAGGCAGGGCATTGTCCACATCCCGACGACTTAGAATGAGTCCATACATGTCTGTGAAACAGCACAGAACAGGAGTTTTGCTTTGGGGGTTAAGAAGGAAAAGGTGAGACACTTGCTGTACTGTAGAGGAGAGAGAGCGCGAGCTGAAACATCTATTACATGTGGAAAGTGGTTGATCCAATGTAACTGAAGCTTTTAAAATTATAACTGACTCCATGTGTGTGTGTGATCGAGAAAGAGAAAGAAACATGTCTTTCATATTTCTTTTTGTTTGCCAAATTCTTGGGAGGATTTATGCATTAAAATCTTACTTCTATTAAAAGCTAAAAGAATTTGGTATTTCGCAAAGTGTCATAAAGGAGTTTGACGCTCACGAGAATGCTGTCATTGAGGGGCACTCGATTTTAAGCGACTGGTGCTATGTGTTGCCAAGGTGAGATTTCAGTCTCTTAGCATCTGGAGAAGGTACATGATATACCATTTTTCTCTAATTTTGCTTCAACATTGATTTGTGCAAAAGTATAAACCATTCTGTGAATTGTTGAAACAATTATAACTTTAAAGAGATATAACAGTATATTGTCATACTTACAGAAGCCATCAATTTTCTCTATCAGATGACTAAAATAATTTTATGGTATGCTAAGTGTACAATACATGTTTTTATTAGATCTATTTTTAAAGTAAAATTTATAGGTACCTCATAAGATTAAAACTATTACAATCTCAGTAAAACCTTGTGAACTTTTACATGTAATTAATGATTCATTATTTGATATAAGTTTGTATTATATTTAAAACATGGCTTGTTATTAATATGAATAGGACCAGTAGGATGAAAGTTTAACCTGCTTTATAAAAAATAACTTCAGAGATACAAGTAATAATTTCATCATTCAGGAAAGGGGTAGATGGGAAACATAGCTCTGACTCTGATTTATCCGACTCTTAAACTTTTCCCTAAAGTCTATCAATTACCAGGCATATCTGTGTGTGGCAACAGTAATCATTGTTCTGTGTTTATAACTGACATATTGTTTGCATCAGTTCCATTTAGTTTTTCCTGACAGTTCTAGTTAAAATTTAAATCAGTGGGTATTTGGAACTAGGAGCAAGTGATAAGTTTATTGCTTAAGTGTTGATAGTTGCTAAATCTTCATGAATGCTTTCTAAATCTCATAGTTAAACTGTAAGCATGGGCGTGTGACATTTTGCCACTCTTGTTTTTCACAGTATGAAAATGGGACAGATACTAAGTATTGTTCATACCGCGCCCCCTGACTCTCCTTTTCACTCATATAAAGATTTCCAGATGCACTGGGATGCCCTGGTAAGGAACAGAAGCACATTTATGTTAGAAGCTATTTGGTTTGGCTTCTTATAATTTAATCTAAGTTTAGCTTTCTCTCAAGAGAATTTCAACTTTGTTCTTAATTTTCAGTACGGCTATAAACTTCCAGAAGACCATGGAAGCACTAACGTATACTGCAGCATCTACTTCAGGACCATAGGCGGGAGGGTCTTCACATATCCTTCGCGTGCCAGCCCCGGGAGGCGCTCTCTGCCCCGCCGGCGGCCCGGGCTCTCCTGCCCTGATGCCGGCAGCGTCGTCAGCCGCCCTGGTGTCTGGATGCCCCTGCTTTCCTCTCTACTTTTTATCTGCATGAGTAGTTTTGTTTTTCCTAGAATTTTCCCATTTTTATTTGAGGATGAGTTTAATAATGGTATTTCTTAAACGCTACTGCAACAATTGAGACAGCAAAGGAACTGTACAGTAGATAGGAAAAGTGGTTATTTGAGTCCTAATAGAAAGAAAATCGTAGGATTCTCCTTAGCCGAGGGCTCCCTCCAGTGGTATTTTGGATATTACTGAAAGAGTGGAATTAGAATTAGTTGTTTAACAAAGGATTTTATTTTGGGGAGATTATTTTACAGGCAAAATTTAGAAGACTTGCATTTAATGTACTCCATGGACTTAAGAAAATAACTTAATGTTATTTTTAAAACTTTGCACACAGAAGCGCCCAAGTGCTCCTGTGAAACTCTCCAGTCCGCATACTGACCCTGCGCCCGCCCCTCTGCTCTGACCCCTGGAGCACTGGAGGGGGGGGGGGGCAGGGGGCCTCGGCGCTCCTGCTGTGTGACTTCCTAGCTCTGACCGCGGGGTGAAGTGGGTGGGTACAGACACCAGCCGTTGCCTTTTGTCAGAGGCCAAGTCACTATTCCAGGTCCTCAGGGTCGTCTTCCTCAGAAAAGTCACTGCTTCTTTCCAAGAACTGCTTTTGGAGCCTGAATGAAATCTGCCTGTGTTGTTTCTCTGTCCTTAATCTTCACTGCTTTTTGGAGACGCAGCCTTTTCATTATTGACTATAAACATTCACTTTTATAATCTATAAATGTCATAGTGTCTTTCTTACTAACTATTTATGGAATGTCTTAGTTCGCTGGCCTGTATAGAAGGCCATCTCTTAAGGATATAGTGAGTTGTCTTGATTGTGAGTATTAAAACAGAAGTAATAGTATTCCTGTGAGGAAACATGCTTTTTAGCTTTGGATTATAAACTTGGAATTATTTAGCTTGGAATAAATACGCAATATGTAAAATAGGATTTAGTTGTGCCTGCTTTTTAACAGTTACTATTTAATACTTTCTTTCATTCCGTAAAAATGTTCCATTGTTCTTTAACATTGTTCACATACCCTCTCAGCTGCATCCGAAGTCAGCCCGTACAGTTCTTTCCGAGGGTGGATTTGGAAGGTGTGTTGAAAAGTTTTCTTTCAGATTTAAAGGCTAAATTGCCCCATATATGTGGATTTCCCATTAAGATGACAACGAAATCGTGCTACTACACCCAAGAACTAACTAAACCACGAATACAGGTAAGAGATCCGTGTCCTGTCGAGCTCTCTGACACGTGCTATGCACTGTCTTACTCAGATCTCAGTTCAGTGTTTCCCCACTTGCTGTTAGTGTACTTAACCTTTTGTCACTGCCATTTATTACTGTGGCACTTAGCGTGCTCTCATAGACGCAGTTCGCTGGTCTCATTAGCGTGAGCCCCTGGCGGCTGAGGACTGTGTCCGCCTCCTTGTCCAGAGTACCTGGGACAGCAGAGGATGTCATTGAGTGCTTCTCCAGTGAGCCGGTGACCTCACAGGATAGTTTACAGTATTTGCCTCATACAAACCCAACTTGACTTTGAACTCCTGCCACTTCATTTGAGTGTGATTGAAAAAGCCTTTGACTTCATTTATATAAAGTTATTTCTGTAAGATTTTCATTGTAAGATGATGTGCTAAGTGAAATCTTACTTATGAAACAGAAGTAGATAATAAGTAATACTGATAAACCATGATGGCCTCTCTTCACATTGATTAGAATAAGATTTTTGTTTAAAGAAAGCAAAACTAAAAAGGGAAGTTTTTAAAGAACAAATCTAAGGAAGTTAATTTTAAATTTTCAACAATGATCTTTCTTTGGAATGACAAATAGTTAATGTATTTTCATCAAAGGAAAGACAAAAGTCTGAAAAACTGCAGCAGTTTAAAGTATAATATGAAGTAAGTGAATATTTCCGTGCCTGCTCAGTCTCCTCTCTTGGACGTGTTAGGTCCCCTGTTGCGTGTAGTTCCCATTGCCGCAGGGATTTGTCTTTCACGTGGCGCTGACTTGCTGTGGCTCCAACACACTGCCATGTGGCACTTCTCCGGCTTTTGCCGACATGCTAATTGTGTTACTCTCTCTATAATCCTTCACTAAAGTTTGCAAGAGCCCGTGTGACGGGCCCTGTTCATCCCTCAGGCCGGGCCACATCACCCACCACTGGCCAGCACGTGGTGTCCGTGTCCCCGGCCAGGGGCAGCACCTCATACCCACAGGGACATTACAACCATGGCAGCCTCAGCTAACCATGCTAACAGCGGGGCTGTGGGCAGGGCCGTCTCCTGGGACGGGGGCGGGGGGCGGGGGGCGCGGGAGGGCAAGTGCTGTTCCCGGCTCTGTGGCAATGCGTCGGGAGTTCTCGCCCAGGTACAGCATTTTAAAAAGTTTGATTGTCGGACAGGTCCAGACCTGAGGAATTTAGCGGATAGATCATTATCTCGTGCATTTTTATTGAATATACAGGGTCCAGCACAAATAATGCCCCCTTTTTATTACAAAATCGTAAGCATGTTATTCTCTAACATAATAATATCACACGTAAGCACACTGTATGACATTTTAGGTGAAATGTTCAAATTGCTGTCCATCCTGTGCAAGACATTCACATACCCTACCAGCCACACTCAAGTAAGCCTTCTGCCAGACCCTGTATTTATTGACGACTAAATATTTCTAGCCCGTGTCTTAGAAATAGTGAATCCAAACAATAAACTTACTAAAGTGAGCTTCTTAACCGTGAAGTAACAAATTGGAAATTCTGGTCTTTATTTGCTCCTGAGAATAAAAATGTCTCCTACTCAATTTCATTTAATACCTTCTGTATGCCAGCTGCTTAATTTATGCGTATTATCTCATTTAATTGTCAAAATAAACTCTTGGAATAAAGGATTGTTTTCTCAATTTTGCAGACAAGGAAACAATCTCAGAGCATCCAAGTAATCTAATCAAAGCCGTACAGTTAAATATATTGCAGAATTAGGACTGAAATCCAAAGTCAGGTTCTTAATCCTGCAATTGGAAAGAGTTTAGATGGGCGGTTAAGACCCCAGGCTGTAGAGCCAGGCTGTTTGGATTTGACCTTCTTTACTACTTGGATAACCTGGGGCGAGTTATTTGGTCTCCCCGTGCCTGCCTGGGCTTCCTCTGTTGTGAAGTGGGGCGTGGCAGTGGCGGTCATACCAGCACTCGTCACAAGTGGGCCTCCAGGAAGCTGACCCTGACGTGGAGTCCAGCGCGTGGTGCTGCCTGGGGCTGCCCTTGGAGTCCGCACCTGCTGGGGAGGGGTGGGACCGGGAGGCAGTGGGCTCGGGTGCCGGGGGAAGCCAGAAGCAAAGCAGGTGCCAGCCAGCCATGGCCAGCCTGTTACGTCATCTGTGCAGACTTGGACATGCGTGCCTATCTCACAAGAGCTTTTAAAGACTTATGTAACAACAGTTCCTTGGTATCTGATACCACGTCATACCCCAGTTCCCCATTATTTCGAGGTTTATTTGTAGGCATTTTGTGTTAGAACTCAAGCAAGGGCCACATAATTTCATATGGTGGTTATGTCTCTTAAGTCCCTTTTGTTCCATAACATTCCAGACCGACTTCTCTTTATTTAAGCCAGTTATTTGCTGGGAAAATTAGATCATTTTCCCTGGAAAATGTCCTGTACCGCAGCTTTGGCTGATGGCTTCCTTGTGTCATGTCATTTAAAGTTAACATATACTTCTAAACCCCATACTTCCTACAAACCTGTGGTTGGATCTAAGTGTACCTGCATTCTGGTTTAACTTTAATCAACATTCAAGTAGTGCAAAGTACAACCAGATTTTAATAGATAAAACACATTTGATGGTGTCATTTTGGTCAATCCGTTCAAATCTAAGAAGAGGTTAAAGCTTTTGGTTTCCCTCTATAAGTTTGTATTAATGTACAAAGCTATATAAATTAGGTGTAAAGTTCTAGAAATTAGAAGTCAACTAAGCCACATTTGCCAGTGACATCTGGCAGAATAATGACAACAGTGTTGTAAAGCATGTGTTTTTTGTGGGGTTATGCCTTCACAAAGCTTTGGTTTGGTGACCATTTAAGTATTTTAAGTTCTGTAAATTATTTATGATCTCATCTGCTGTTTCCATGGGTCCTTTTGGTAGTCTTTTTATAAATTTTGAATATAAACCTAGAGGTTACCTCCTTTGGGCTATTTACTGTAGTTTAGAAATTGGAAGAACGAATAAATGATACATGGACAGGCTAGGGGGCAAAACAAGCTCTTGGGAATTATTTCCATCACATGTGTACTTCTGAGTAGCAGGTGAAGATAAAACAGGTGTGACTGTAAACATATTCCAGACGCATATTCTAGATGTTTTATGTCAGAACACAAGGAACCTCTTCTTCTGTGAGTCTGCCTAGAATGAGGTAGTTTGTTTTTTGCCTTCTGTTTTTATTTTGGTATCTCGAGGACTAGGTGTGTTGTTTGAAAATTACTGTTGTTTTTGAAACCCAGGAGTCAAAAACAGTGGCTGTTCTTTGACTTTCTATGATTGATTTCAACTTAGTTCTTTAACTCTATTTTCATCAAATGCAAAAATATTCAGTCTAGACACTTTAAAATGACTTCATCACTTCTGACAAAACATCTCTTTATTCAGATTTAAGGCCTGTTCTCCTCCTGATAGCATCTGTGTGCAGGGGAAGCCTTGGGAGGGCGTGGGCAGGGTGTGTGGTGGAGGGCGTTTGAGGTGTTGCCTGTTGTCCACGTCAGGAGAGCGAGTGCCCCAGCTCTGTTTCTGGACACCTACGAAGCTAAGGGTGGGCACTTGGCTCCTGCCACCTCTGCCGCTGAGAAGCCAAAGGAGTTCATAGTTCTCAGCAGCAGCTGCGCACATGTGGCTTTACCTCCCACCTTCCTTCAAAACATGGTATGAGTGCAGCTGATTGGTTGGTCTCAAGTCACGTCCTAAACCCTGGCTGCAAAGGAGAAGATGTCCATTTTCAATTCCCTGGCTCTAGAGGGAACACAAGAAGTGCGGGCCGGGCGGTGAACGGCAGTCCCGTGTGTCCGCTGCGCGGTCACAGCTGCACAATGGCAGGGGTCGGGGGAGAAGCATCGGGGCGAGAGGGGAGGGGGCGCTGCACGAGGCGGCAGCAGGAGCTCGTTGGGAGGACAGTTGCTAACTGATCATAGCTGTTAAAGCTGAGTTACACAGAATCTAAAACATATCTTCATCTTAAAATATGGCATGAAAGGCTGATGTCTAAAGAGGGGTGCAAACCATAGGAAATATACACATTTCCTCAAGAAGGCTCCTTTGGTCTTTGTTTCTGGGTTTTCGTTTTGTTTCGCCTATTTTATATATCGTTGTGTTACTTTATGTCCTTATTTGGATGATATTTATAATATTTTTTTCTATTAAGGACATTATTACATTTTAAAAATCTCTTTAATCTGTATTCTTTCAGGAAAACAAAATCAAGCCACCCAATCTGACCTCAAAACAAATGTTGCAGTGCTCTCTGACTCAGGCCCCTTCCACAGGACCCTCCCCGGCCCAACGCCTGCCACCACGTTCGGGAGCCCTGGACCCCAGGGTGGGGCTTCGGGTCGGCCAGCAGAAGCCCTGCAGGCCCTCAGCTCCACCTCCGCGGCTCGGCTCTGCTCGGAGCCGCAGGGAAGCCCCGTCTGCCGAGGAGGCACTGCAAGTGCGAGTGCGTCTGGAAGCAGCAAAGCCCACGAGAGGGAGCGCTCACGCTGAAGACGCGAGTTTTAGCTCCCAAGGTGACATGGCCGCTAAGCTCGTACCAGCCTTCAAAAGTCGGTCAGGACAGATGAACAAAAATGTCTCAGAACCCGGCGACCTGGAACGAAAACCGCATGTTATGGAATCGAAGTTTTTGCTTAAAACCAATGTGATCCAACATGACAGACCAAATTTAGACCCAGCTATTAAACAAAGATCTAATCGTAACACTCAGACGAATGCTAGGAATTTAAACCAGAAGACTTCTAGACCTCTGCAAGAAAAAAAGACTGAGTCCTGTGAAGATGTGACAAGATATCCCCCTTTTAATGGAAAATCATCAGCTGCGAGTATCAATGGAAGTCAGCGACTCTCTGGTAGCTCAGGATTTCAGATGTCAGATAAGAGATTACGTGGGGTAAGAAGGGCCGTTGACTGCCAGGTGAATGGGAAAGAAATTTTAACAAGCAAATACATAGCACAGATTTTAGGGAAAGGCCACGAGTCACTACAAGTGAAAAGACCACATATTTTTGAGTCAGACACGGAAATGGAAGATACCCAACTACTGCATCAGTCAGTAAATCCAACTACAGAAATTGATGTAAGTGACCACAGATTGATAGCAAGCAGAACAGCCCACAAGTCCAAAAGGAAGCTGTGTCAGGGGTCTTCAAAAACTGCCAGGCAGCCTGGTTCCAGTAGTACCCATCGTGGACAGTCCAGTTCTTCTGTGAACCAGGTAAGAAAACCATTTTAATCTGGGGATATTTGTCGTATGGTAGGCCTTCAAAACCCCTAAGTAAAGACTTAAAGGGTTTTCCCAAGATCATCCAGAAACACATTGAGACGAAAGTTGTGCTCTAACACAACTGCACATATATGTTGTTAACTTACTAAAGATGAGATTCTTTATTCTGATTACAGATACATGACTTGGACAGATCAAAACCTAAGAAACCTCTCATCCCTGAAGCTTACAACATGGGTATGAAAACAGGAAATACCCATCAGGTAACTTAGATGACATCTTTTGATTTATTTTTCATTATGTTACATTAATTGGAATTGCCAGATTTAGGTATCTCCTACCTCTTGATAAGGAGTTACTTTTAGATTCCTTGAAGGCTTAAAATCAGCAAGGAAATAGGAACTGTTGAGAACAGCACAGGCCTTGAGTCAGGACTGCACACAGCACCTGTCACGTACGGCAGAGACCCCAAAGTGGGGAGAGAGGTCCCTTGCTGGCCCCTCGCACTCTGTGCTGGGGCACGGCGGCCGAAGGCTGCCCGCAGGCTGCCCGCAGGCCTGAGTCCACAGCCACCAGAACACCAGCCTTTGGAGACTCTCACCCAAGGATGATTAACCTTCAGTGATGCTTCAAAGGTTAATCACTCAGTTAAAATTGACTCCCAAAAATGTTGCAGTGTTGGCTAAAGATGAACTTAAGATTTAGCTGATAATGCTGAGTCTACAGCACTGAATTCACAAAACCATGCATCTGGAAATTACATTTTTTCCCATTCTGCCATCTGTTCTATTCTAAGAACAAACATATTACTAAAACATCCACAAGCACTTTTTTTTTTGCATGGAACTATTGGAATCTTTTCAATTCAGAAATTATGAGCAAACTAGAAAACTTTTTCTTTTTTATCTTCCAAATGATATTTCTTTTTATAATACAATTTTCAACCCAATTTGAGTTAACCAAAGGGTACTTAAGTCTCCTATGTATTTTATAATGTGTTTCGTGTAGTTTTTGACATCTTACACTGGAATGCACTCAGTAGGTGGTTAAGGAAAAAATGTATGTGCTCCAGTGCCTTAAAGTTTTTGTTTTTAAAATAAATGAATTCTATTCCGCTTTCACAATTTTAGAAGTACATCATTTTCCCACTTTGAATTGCTTAAAACCTAAGACAGTCTTTAAACTACAAAATCATTCCTGTCACCCAGAAGGAATAACATACTGAGAAAAAATGTAAGATATCATTATAGCAACTAATTTTCCTCAAATATAAAATTAACATACGCCCTTGTTTAAAAAAATGGAGAAATACAAAACAGTTTGAAGAAAAAAGCTTGAAAAACCACCTGTGATTTCTCTTTGCAGAGAAAACCTCTGTGAACAGAGGTGCACGGACGCTCACACACTCCAGCGAATGTGATGGGCCCCTTACATGGCCGTGGGGCCTCCTTTCTCCCCCGACAGCTTCATGTTCACGGTCGCTTACGTGGTCCACGTGAATGTAGTTGCTGTCCCTGCTCGCTGACCCTTAAGTTCTTCCCACCATGATAGCAGTGTCTTCTACAGGGGTTTGCAAAATACCCATTCGTACGACTAGTTTTGTTAGTTGAAAATATCTTTATTTTGTCCTTACTACTTACTATTTTTATTATTGAAATTTATTGGCATTCATTTTTTATTATTGAGAATACGTATGTATACATTGTATTGTGGGGTATCTGCCATATCTTTATTGACTCACTGAATTTCACTTTGGTTTATTACAACCTAACTGAAAACCCTCGATAAGCATAAAGCCTATTTCACAGAAGAGCCCGAGGCTGCTGTCACATGACCAGGCTTTTGGAGGGGAGATGTCTTTGTCTGGACCTCCTCATAAGCTGTTGCTCTGTGTCCGGCGGTGGGTGAGGTGCGGGTTGCTGGAAGGACAGCCCTGCCATTGGCCCCGTCTGCTCTCCAGCACGCCCTCCCGGTCCCTGGCAGAGGCTTGCGCACACAGGGGCGCTGAAGCAAACGTCAAGAACAGCCGCCGGTCCGTATTACAAAGAAGTTATCAAACATACAAGAAGCGAGAAAAAGAATAGAGCTCCTCACTAGTATATTCTGGCTTTCAAACATTTTAGGTGTTTCATTTACAAAATGTGATAAAAATTTTTGTGGTAAGATATTTTTAAAATGCTCAATATTCCACTGAAGAAATTGTTCATTAAATTTTTTAAAAATATCAGAGGGCCAAGTTTAAGTGGAACCTTGATTTTTTTAAAAATGTGATTTGTTGTTTTGCGATTTCACTAAACCATAGCAATTAAATGCAAAAATGAACATGAACCCTACTTCCAAAACTATAATATTAAATTTTTTCTCTTGAAATTATGCTTGACTAATTTACTATATACTTTTACTGTAAACAATTCTTTTTTCCAGAATTATCCTTCCAATTATTTTCCCATTTTCGTAGGGAAATACCTCTAGTTTAAAGCCCATCTTGAGTATGCCTTTCTCATCTGGAAACTGGCATGATAGGTAGTTGGTAAACCACAGGAAGATTGGTCTGTCATTCTGTTTCTGAGGCTGCGGAGAAAACATTTCTACAGAAGTGCAGTCGCTAAGTGCATGTCCTGGGTCACACAGCCGCCCTCAGCCCGCACGCGCTCCCCTCTGCCTTCCAGTGGCGGTCCGGGGCTGTGCCCCAGGTAACGAAGACTGTCCCGGTTAGTACGCCAAGCGTAACAACCAAAGGCGCACCCCCTGCTTGAGTTGTGTGTGGTGTCTTCCAATCCTTGATAGCTCCTCCTCCACTCCATTATTGTCTAAAACTTAGAATTTTTAGTATAGTATTTCATTTCAATAAATGTTAACCTGCATGGCAAAGCCTGCTTACGTTAGGTTCAGTCTATTTTGTGGTATCGAAGTAGGTTTCTTTTTTATCTTACGATATTCATCCTAATGAAAGTTTACCCTCCAAAAAATAAATATATATCTATGCATGTGTGCACATATTTATGATTTACTGTAGAGACACACGGGCAGATTGTTGACTGTTTACCGTCCATGTTCAGAGAAGAGTCTCTATACCAAATTGCTGTGCTAGGATTCACTGGAGAAATCAAGGAAGATTTTGGTTCATTTTAAGATTATTTTGAAAGCCAGAATAATTCTAAATTTCATTAAGGAAAACTAATTTGCACTTCTTTAAGTTTTTGATGATTTGTTTGCATTGTGGACACCTGCTGTCCCACTCCCAGATCATTCTTCACATTCCAATTTTATGTTAATTTTATAACCATTATAATTTTAAAACCATAAATAAATGATTTTTATGTTATCAGTCTTGTAAGAGCAACCATTGCATTTAAACCTATGGCAACCTGCCAAAATTAATGCTAAGAATCATCATAGAAATGTAAACCTACTTTCCGTTTACTCTTCATATTTTAAATTTCATAGTATTGCTTACTATATTTGTTTTTAGTTATATTTTATATTATAATTATACATTATATATTATTTATGTTTGTTGCTTACTATAACAAATAGGTAAAAAAGTACAGGTTTGTCAATGATTAGCTTTTACTTGACCAGCTCTCTAATCAGATTTTGCTGTTTGTCAAACTGCACGTCATCTGGTATTATGCTGGGACTAACAGTGTATTGACTATTTATTGATACTTTAGAATGGTCAGTATTTACAAGTGTTTATAGATGTCATCATCATTATATACTTAGGCTTAAACTGTTTGTGTTGTATCCTACAGTGTCTTTTTTAAATAAAAAATAAAGGTATTTCAAATAGATGTATTTTCATATGTCACAGTGACTGTAGAGAGGAATGGAAAGGCTTAGTTAGGTACGTTCCAGGTTTTTACCTCTAAGGCTCTGTCTTTTCATGTGCATTTGCTGCTTGAACCACGTAAACTAGTCTGAGTCTCCATCACTTCACAGAACTTTTGTTCCAAAACGCCCTCGTTCTTTCATTTGACTGGTCTGTCTGTAACATCTGCCATGTGCCAAGCGCTGCTGTAGGTGCTTATGATGTATCAGCACTGTTTATATGCCAGGAGGGAGAGACGGAAAACACACACAGTAAATAAGTAATATGTATAATGTATTAGAAAGTGACAAGCGTAGGGAAGAAAAACAAAGCGAGGTGAAGGCAGGCTCCCTTGGGCGGAGACTCGCAGCGGTGGGTGAGCGAGCGAGGCGGACGGCTGTCCGAAGGACGATCTGTCCAGGCCTAAGGGGCAGGCTGTGTGCTTGAGAGACGTCAGGGAGCCCAGGGCGACTAGGAGAAATGCCTGATCCCGCGGGGCTTGGCAAGGACATCCACACTGAGTGACATCGGGCTGAGACCAGAGAGCGACACAGGGCCATTCCGCCTGCGGCGCTGAGAGGAGACCCGGGCAGAGAGAGAGGCCTGGCCGCGGCTGCCTGGGCTGCGCTGTGCTGGGCGGGGCCCCCAGATTAGGAAGTCGAGAGGAAGGGGTGCTGGGCTTGGTCACGTGGGAGCAGCAGTCAGCAGGAGAAGAGCGGGCGCTGGAGTTGGAGGAGGGCTGGGGCCGCCTGCTGGGCTCCACGGGGCAGTGGTGGCAGCTGGCTGAGGGGCGGCTTCCCTGGGGCGACGAAGCACAAGTCTGTCTGCGTGTAGGGGAAAGTGGGGAACGGGCAGGGGGTAGTGATCCCGGGTGCAGACAGCTCCTTTGGGAAGGGTCGTCAGTGGGCATCTCTCCATCCTTCCTGTCGTTGGTCCCTTAACAGTGTTGCCCTTCAATCGTCCCCTTCTTGACACGCCAGTCTCCTGCGACCTCTGTAATCTTACGTCTTTGGATACAATGTCTCTGGTTGCTGGCTGAATGCACTAAAGACACACTGGGACACAGGAGGGCTGGGAAGAAGGGCATTCCGGGGGGCGAGGGGACAAGGCAGGACAAGCATCGGGCCTTTGGACGCTCAGCGCAGCCCCCGTGCTAAAACACAACCGTTCTCGCTTCTCAAGGACCCTCCAGTGCTGACGTCAAAGCAGGAGTCCCGAGGCACGCTTACGTGAGCGCTGTCGTGGGTGCCAGCCGTCCGTTTACATGCAACTGCAAAAGCCCTGCTTCACGCTAGGGGCGCTCAAGCTTGGGCTCCGTTCCGCTTCTTTCCGCTCTCACATCCTCGGGGGCGTCTCACATCACTCAGAATCTCAAGGTGGCGAGCAAGGGTTTGGGAAGACGCGAGCAGCTTCTGTATTTGAACTGGCCCTTCGAAGCCTGCGCGGTCTAAGGTCTTCCCAGTGCACTATTTGAGGAACCAGTGTAACTTCCCTCAGTTCCCAGCAGAAGGGCCTGTCCTCCCAGAGATCGTGGTCTTCCTGGTGTCAACACACGTTCCCCTAACCATCCCCAGGCCATACAATTGCTTCAGAGACGGTGAAGCCACAGGGCTGGAGACCCCCTGAGCCACTTGCAGCCCGTGCGACGTCCCACCTCACAAAGACCCCACGAAGTTCGACACACTTGCTGAGCACCGGTATAAACTGGTGTTAATGATTACGACCTAGACCTCTCTGGTTTACCTACAAAACAAGGACCTTTTAATATGTTACAGAACTGAGCAAGCTCTATGTTTCCCAGAGCAATAAATCCAGCCTGCCTTTTGCCTCCTAAGGACCGGTTTTAGTACTTTATAAACTAAAGTAAGCTGCACTGTATATGGGGCTGCTGAGATAAAGGAAAGTAGTTTTAGTCATATTTCTCTTTAACCAGATTTACCACATTTCATTACTTTGCTGCCTACTATTGCTCTGTGGTCCCCAAGGAAATAAGTAGATGAAACTGAGAAGAAAAACAACATAAAGTAGGATATTCAATACCCCGGGTTGCATATATCCAATAGGATCACACAATGATTAAATTTAGCTCCAGTTAACCTGATGTCAAGTGCAGCTCAGCTCGGGGGGCAGTGAGAAACCGAATGCATGTTCTACATTTCCAGAAAATATTTATACCGAAACATACGGCTTTGAGTGTCCCTGCCACGCAGCAACATTGACACACAACAGGCAGGCTCTCCTTTGGCAGGTCACTGAATATTGTGTGTGAACCTTTGACGTGACAAAGACGTCGTTTGGCCGAGGAGAGCGTTTGTAGCCCAGCGTGTCTTGCTCCCTGTCCGCACCCGTGTGCTACTGTAGCATCTCTGCCCGCTGGGCTCTCGGAAAGGACACAGACTTCTATCTGGAGGTTGGGGACCATGACATTTCTGACAGGCAGCTCCATTTAGACGGCGTCTCCCCAAACTTCTCAAGTTTGAAAGAGTCTCACTGTTTGGAACAAGCACCCAAGGTGAAGTGCTCTGTGCACATCAGGGGAAGGAATGTTCAGATGTTAAACGCTGAGTCCGTACCAAGGCTGGGTAATTCCTTCCTGGGGAAAGGGAGAGTCGAATTCCAAATCAGACAGGCCCATTGTGCCTGGCCTCGTTTTAATCAGCCAGTGATTCGCTGGGCAGCGCGGGGGTCCACCAGATGTCCGCGGAAGGCTCCTCCACACCTGCCTGCTTTGGGCCGAAAGACAGAAAGCGGCCGTGGCCAGTGGGGCCAGTCACTTCGCTTAACAGTGAGGAAGCTGAGCTACGGGGAGTTGCGGTTCACCCCCGTATTATAACCATGAAGAAAAACAATTACGTTGCTTTATAGTCCCTTCTGCTTTTAAAAAACCTTTTTGTGAAAAATGTGAATTAAAAAGAGTGTACCAAGTATGTATGTGCAACATAAAGAATAAGAATGAAATAAAGACCTTAGGCTTTTCTTCCCGGTCTCACCGCTTCTGCATGTGTATCCCTGCGCAGTGGGTTTGAGCTTTGCGCTCAGTGACGCGATGCCGTTTGAATCCTGTGACTTCCTTCTTTCCGCCGACAGTATGTTTGAGGTTCGACCATGTGGATGCCGTCACTGTAGCTGACTCACTCCGTTCCAGACACCGTCCCGCTGTGGGACCACGCCATGATTTAGTCATTCCACGGGAGACGGATTTTTGGGTTACTTCCTATTGGCGTCTTTATTTGCTTTGATTGTTTTGCGTGTGACTTGCACATTCGTGTGACTAGAATCCGAGGAACCTGTGACATGCCGGTTCCTCAGATTCTAGAACTGGTATGTAAAGAGAGAACTTTACATTGGAAAAGTACCATTTGAGCCAAGTCCAGAATGGCGAGGAGGAGGAGGGCCATGCGAACATGGCGAGCAGAATGTTCCGAGGAGGAGGACGACGGACGCACAGGCCCTGGGGCGAGGGAACGCGGGACAGCAGAACAGAGCAACAAGGCCCCGTGGCGGCCGTAGGAGCCCCGGGAGGGCGCGAAGAGGCGCGTTCTCGAGGCAGCAGAAGTGCAGGCAAGATGCGGTGAAGGCGCAGGCAGGAAAAGGGGAGTTGCAGGCGGGGAGGCTGGGCTGAACTGAGAAATATTTTGGAGATAGAGAAACACACTTCGTGTGCATGGCGGGTGGAAACGATCGTGGGACTTACTGAGGGGCAGAAGGCTGGCGGGGACAGAGGCGTTTGGGGAGGCGGGGAAATAAATAGACGTTCTTGTGTTAGTAGAGGGACGTTTGAGACGCCTGAAAGACACCCAGGGGGAGGGTCCGGGGGGCAGGCGTCGGCACGTCGCTGGTGCTTGGGAGTCCTGGGAGAGGGTAAGATTCTCTTCTCAAAGGGAAGAGGCACAAAATCTAACCCTCAGGTAGCCCAACATGTTCTGCACGTGCTGAGGGAGAAGAGCCGGCCAAGGACGACCACAAAGGGTGGAGTTCTGGACACCAGGAGACAGGCCTGCTTCTGGACAGAAGGCTCCTGACAGGTCAGGTAGCATGAGGAGCAGAGACGGGGGTACCCCGGAAGGAAGGGAAGCCACAGTGCCTGAGAGGTGGGGACAGTGAATACATGGCAAGGGCGGGGAGACTGTTTCGCGACCCATCAAGGCGCCTGGGTGGTGAGAGGAGCAGGTGGGGTGGGAGCGGGAGAGCAGGGGCCAGAGGGGAGGGTTCTCTGGAGAGGGAAGCAGATGTCACAGGGTGGCTACGGCAGGAGCGGCGTCCCCAAGAAAGTAGGAGAGGGTCTGTGATCCGAGCAGAGACGCTCACGGAGATTCATGCTCAGCGCTCTGCATGGAGTTGTTTGTAAACGTAAAACCAGGAAACGACCTCACGTTCAAAAAGGGAGAATCGTGTCTTAAAAGTAAGTCATAGCATGTCAACAAGATTTGCGGGGGGGCGGGGCAGGGGCGGGTCATGTTGCATGCAGAGAGAAGTAATATACAAAAACATGCATTTGAACTTTGAAAAGGAGACCATCCATCTGTGTTTCGTGTACAAACACTTCCAGAAGGAGACCCACCAGAACTACACCCATGGTTACTTTCCATATCATCCTGGGCAATTCCCCCCTTTTGTGTACTTTTTTTTAAATATCCAAATAGCATAGTGAACATGAATTATTCGTGTTATTTTTAAAAATAGATGGAGCAAAAGAGCTGTTTCCTTTTGCTTGATGCATGCAAACACATCACAGGAGCGACGCTCTGGAAAACCACGTCGGTCTCCCCTGCCGGCCCTCACCCGCTCTCCTTGTCCGTGGCGTCAGGCTGCCTCACTCGGGCCCGTGCCGAGCTGTGGCTGACGCCTCCCAGGGCACTGGGCAGTCGCCCAGATGCCGTTCGACAGCCCTACCAGGAAAGCAGGCCCGGAAGCCTGCCAGGGAACTCCCCCCAGAGCGGGGACAGAAGGGGAGGCCCTGGAGCCACAGAGGGAATCCCGATAACTCGCTAAAATGAGGGATTGCAGTTGCGAGCAGCAGAAGCCACGGAGGTCAGCCTTCTCCATGGCGAGTGCTTACGCAGGTGCCGGAGAGGCGCGCTCTTCACCGGGACCACACCAGCCCCGAAAGGGACTGCAGGGCTGTGGCTAAGTTGGAAGAGCGAGGGAATGCCGGGAAGTGGCCGGCGTTGGCCGCCGGCTGTGATCCAAAAATCCTGACCTCGTCGACCTGTAACCACCAACTCGGAGGTCGTATTTCCACTAGAATGGGCTTTCATTTATTTGTTAAATGTTTCCTTGGCCCCTCCTGCATGCCAGGAACTGTGCTGGGGCCCAGAGATTCAACCTCAGGGACGAAAGATCCAACAGGCACCGCTCCCTCGGTCCAGTGCGGAAGAGAGACTATGAAATGAGCGGGGATAAGGCGTTACATGCGACCGCAAAGAAAGGGCGGTGAGCTCCGGCGGAAGCTCTGGCAGGAGCGGAGTCCCAGGAAGAAGAGAGGGTACGCTGGGGCGTTTCTGCGGGCGGGAACTGGCAGTGCGGGCGCCAGGTAGCGGAGTGGTCAAGGCAGAGGGGACTGTGTGAGGACACCCGGAGAAGGCGTGATTCCTGAGGGGTGACAGGGGTCAGTAGGGCCGTGCAGGCGGACAGGGGCCCTGGGGGTTTCGGGTTGGCGGGAGGCGAGACTGCAGACAGGGATCCGTTAGGAGGCCGCGTGAGCGTGAGGGAGAGAAGTAATTTGACTACGAAATACTTATGGAGGAAAACCAACAGGACTTAGCGAGTAACTGATGTTGTAGGCACTCAGAGCATTGATGTTAGATCTTCCTCTTTTCTACTCTAAGCATTTAGTGCTATAAACGTCCCTCACAACACAGCCCTAGCTGCGTCCCACAACGTCGACATGTGTTTGCATATCCATTCAGTTTTCAATACTTTCAGATTTCTGTTTAGAAGTCCTTTCATTTCCAAATAGTTGTGTTGTTTCCAGACCTTTCCGGTATCATTTTCTACTTTAAATCCGCTTGGTCCTTTGTTTTACATTTACTGAGATCTCTTCGCTAAGCCAGGACACAGTCTAGGGGTGGGCCTTCCCTAGCCCGGTTGACTTGTGTCCCTTTTTCATCTGGCCTTTCCTTGCCTTACTGACTTTTCTTCCTTCTTTCTCTCTTTCTTTGTCAATAGTCTCTTGTCCAGAGCAAAGAAGCGAAGGTCAGGCCAGGTCTGCGTGAACTTCCTGTAGCCTGGGGATCATCTCTCCGCACTGCCTGTGAGGCATTATGCACCGGCCCACTCACAAAACAAGCCACGAAGCACAGGCAGGCATATCATAGTCTGAATCCGTATTTGGGAAAGGGAATTAAAGAGTCACGGTCTGCAGAATGCGCCTCCGGCCACAATAATTACAGCCTTTACACTACCAGGCCGAGGCCTTCAGCTCCTTGGAGCCGGAGCCAGGGCCACATGATTTCTTCCCAGAAGAGGGTACTTTCCCCGCGGGGGTGGCTTCCCAGAAGCAACAGATGTTCGGCCTCAAAGACAAATTCGACCTCATCTCTTAAGACGCAGGACGTCGCAGGAACTGTAAAATGACAACTTTTTTTTTATTCCTTGCTTCATTAAGGGTATATAATATATACTTATATTTATTTGGTATACATCCTAATCATTTCTATGTAATTATATAATTTTCATGTGTCATTTTTTAGCCATACATATGTAAAGTCTTGGCACCTGGTCTCACCCAGGGTCACCATGCCTCATGCTCTTGTTCAGCGAGGAAGAGAAACACGTATTAAGCTGGGAGCTGCGGGTTCTGCTTTGCTTTCCATAAGTAGTTAGAGCATGAAAGGAACCCCTGAATCGCTGCGGGCGCCTGCCAGTACCTCGAGCCAGCTGCCAACCCCTCCAGCTTCTGATGATAACGGAGTCTGGAAACTTTGTGCCCCCTCGTAAGTCTTGAGACCCCAGTCCTCGCCGCCGCAGAGAGCTGGGGTCCTCGGTGGCCGGGTCGGGGGCACCTGCGGAAACGCGGCACAGCAGCTGCCTGAGAACCGGCGGTGGAAGGAGACGCTGAGAAAAGCAGCGAGGATGTCCTGCAGCAGGTCGTCTGAAGTCCCGAAGTCTGTACACTCACACGTTCTGGGGAACTCAGCCGAATCTAAAGGGAAGAAGCACCAAGGAATGTTTGCCGGTCATTCCGAATTCTGTACTTGGGAAGAGGAGTGGGGCAGAGAACGGGCGTAACGTGGGGTACGAAGTCCTGCGGCCGCCCAACGTCAGTGTGAAACAGCTCGCGGGGACTTCCTGGTCTCTTTTGAAGGTTATTTCTTCTTTGGGCACTTACCACGAGGTCTACCCACACTCCTGCACTGGGCACTTCAGCCACACCCGTCCCACGTGTGGGCAGATCGCGTTTGTGCCTCTGGCAGCGTCTTGAGAGCCGGGAGTCCCTCCCCCGCCGCCTGTCCATTTCTCCCTCAGGGTCCGCAAGCCCTGATTCAGCCCCAGCCTGGTGAGGGGAGATGTCCCGCCTCCGTCCGTCTCTCTGATGGGCATCGGCGCCCTCCGATCCCGCGGAGCAACCATCAGTCACTCCTCAGATGACCGGCCCCACTCCGGTAACGTCACCGAGCGGTCGCCAGCTCCCAGAGGCCCCATGTCCCCAGCCACAGTCCCAGAGGGCTCCTTCCCATGCCTTCCAGTGGACGGTGGGTGCCTGAAAGTCGCTGCCAACCGGACTCCCAGTCCCAAGTCCTTGGTTTCAGTCGCCACGTGCTCCTTAGCAGCTCCTGCGGCCTTCCCGGGGCGCGGCCCTGGTCTGAAGCGGAGCCCGGCTCCGCGCCCCCCGCAGGCCCACGCCAGGTGTGTCTGACTGCAGAGCTCATCAACCCACAGGCGCGCACGCCCCCCGGGACTGAGCCTCCGGCCCCACAGGTGCAAGTGGGGGTGCGCTCGCTCGGAACAGCGACAGACGTGGACCAGCTTCTTGCATGAGGTCACAAGAGCCATACTCGTCAGAAACCAAAAGAGGCCTAACGTGGGCTGTTTCCTTGCAGAGCTGAGCCGATGCTTCTTGAAAAGACCCTGTTTCACTACTGGGACAGGCTTGGACACCAATGAAATCCTAAGAAGCTGTGAAAACCGTAGGCCCGTCATTTCCTTCCAGGGCTCAGACTGTCGTGACAAAGGGCCAGAAGGGAGCAGTCCCTCAAGGGGGCACAGGTGGTGCCTGGCCTGGCAGCCGATTTGCCTTCCGGCACCTACCGCAGGTGAGGGGCCAGCTTGGGGAGGCCACCATGCCTCCGGGACGGGTCGATGGGGCACCCCGTCGTGTGACAAGTCCGAGACACAGGGACAAGTCTCTCGTGGGGCTTCTCCTCAGAGCCAAGGGCCTGGCAGCCCCTGGCCTGGGCGCAGCTTGCGTGGCCCCTGGGGTCGGCAGGAGCTGGAGCCCGGGGGTCACGGGGACTTGAGTGGCAGGCGGCACCGCTGAGCCCCGAGAGACCGAGCCTGTTCCTCCCTGTGCAGAGGCCTGGGGGTCATGGCGCGAGCTGGGGCTCACCCAAGATGGCTCAGCGAGGTGCTGGGAGGCGAGAGCGGGGGCACAGGCCTCCTGAGCACCCATCCCGGGTCTCCCCGCGCCGCCGCCCCGCCGAGACCCACCGCGCAACCCCGGAGCCCCGCAGGCTTCCCGTGGACCAGCGGGAAGAACGGGGGACAGAGCCAACTGCGTGCGAAACGGAGGACGGAGACGAGCTTCCAGGCCCTAACAGACCGTGTCTTCTCCTTTGCTGGACTCGCGGGGCATTTGCCCAGCCCCGCATCTCCGGGCATCCTCTGGAGGGACACGGCCTGCTCAGTCTATCGGCAGAGCTCCCGGGGCGCGCAGGGGCTCGGGGTTCCAGTTCATGCACTGTGGTCTCAGGTTTCCCTGCTGGAAATGCCACAGTTAATATAGCGACATTACCAGCTCAGCACTCACATAGTGGCCAACGTTTAATTTAATTTCCCTTTTCTCTGGCGCTGGGGAAATGCGGAGCCCGGGGGAAGTACTGGCCGGCGAGCACCTGTGCTGCAGAGCCGCCGGCAACTGGAACGGCGCTTCTCGGCGCCTGTGAGGCGTTTTATTTCCCAGCGCCTCCCGTGAGCCGGGCTCTGCCCCAGGAGAGGTAGCTGGGTGGCCCCCACCAGTGGGGTCGGGTCGGGTCAAGGGCGAGCGGGACGTCCACGGCGGCCCTTGGAGGTCCTTGCTCAGCACAGAGCCAGGGCTGAACCTGGTGTCTACCAAGGGGTCACCCTCACCGCCGGGGGCCACCCTGCACCCTGGAAGGCTCAGGACGCGGGCGTGTACAGCACTCGTGTTGCTTTTCTCTGCCGTGGTGAGTCCCAGCGTGTGCATCTCACTGCGTGGCATTCAGGGGACACTGGTTGGAGGGCCCTGTCCCCATCAGTGACAGCGAGGGGCCTGGGCTGTGGGCAGGGGGCCGCCCTGCAGACCCAGGACATTCAGGGCTGGGCCCGCTCCTTAGGCTCCCCGTGCCGACGGGGGTGGGGGTCCTGCTCCCCACCAAAGGGACGCGCTGTGAATGCTGGGGTTTCCTGTATCCGCCGGGGCACGGAAGAAGGGCAGGGGGCCCCGCTCCGGCATCTCTCGGCCCTGGGAGCCGACCGTGCAGATGGCCCCGCGCCCGCAGGCCGGCTCCTTGGCTGTCCCGCAGGGGGTGGGCCTCCACATGTAAGCCTGGGCTGGGACCCCCCTTGCTTCCGGGTCCCCAGGGGGAGCTGCCGGGGCTGGTCCCGGGGCCCAGCGTCCCCCGAGCCCCGCGGGAGCAGGGGCCTCGCTCAGGTGGCCTCCGGCAGGTGTGGGAGCGTCACGGGGCTTCCGCAGAGGCTCCGCGGTGGGTGGCGCCATTCCCACGCACCCCCACGTGTTCTGTCTACTGGATTTAGAGTGATGAAGCGACATTATTTAAGGAAAAAAAAGAAAAACACCTTTTGAGGTAAAAGAGACTATGAACCGCTTTGGGTTTTCTTTTCAAAGGAAGTTCCTCAGCTTTGAAACTGTCGCTTCCAGGGCGGAAGGGGGTCCGTGCCTTCCTGCTGAGTCTCCGCTGCCCAAGCGACGTGCTCTCTTTCTGCTTCTTAATCTTCACACCCCGTTTCCTGAACCACGGCGAGCTTATCTTGTCTTCCCAGCCCCAGGTGCGTGAGGCCGTTCTTTTCTGAAGGAGGAGCGGAGGACTCCGCGCGAGCCCAGTGGGAAAGGGAAAGGCTGCGGCAGGTGCAGAAACGCTCTGACGCCCCAGCACATTTCTGTGCCTCAAAGAAGCAGGTTCCCAGCGGCCCCCTGGCCACCCAACCGCCCCCGGACTCTGCACCCGCAGCCGCGCTGGGGGAAGGCCGCAGCCCTTCCCTTCCCTCTCCTCTGGAAAGTTCGGGTGGGTTTCTCATGCAATCCAAAAAAAAAAAAAAAACGGTGAAAATGAGGTGGAAGGTGGAAGAGGGTCCTGTGGGTCGTGGAGAGGCCTGGGGAAAAACCGAAGACGGTGAACGGGACGCGGGCTCTGCACGCGGGCCTCCGTCATTCCGCCGGGAGCCACTGGAGAGGCAGAGCTCCCCGTCAGACTTCGCTCCCGCTGGACCCGCCCCCAGGCCCTGGGTGTGGCACCTATGGTGGGTTTGGGGCAGGGCGGGGGCAGAAACTAGACTCCCCCGGTGTGCGGGGCGGGGGAGGGCAGACAGAACAATGGCGCCCCAAAGATGCCGCCCCCTCATTCCCAGGAACTGCGAGTGTGACCTTCTGCAGCGTACGGTGCTCTGTCGGCGTGATTGGGTTGGGGTCTCCTGGAGGGGACAGTGCCTGGGACATTTAGGTGGGTCCAAGGCAACTGCAAGTGTCCCGCTAAGGGAGAGAGGCAGGAGGGCCGGGGAAGGAGGTGGAGGACAGGGAGAGGCAGGGGAGGCTTCGAGCGAGGCTGTGGGCTTCTGGCTCTGAGGACGGAGGCGGACAGACCCCTGGAGCGCTCCGTGGGGCTCCGCAGACGCACCGTCCAGCGCCCGTGAGCAGGAGACGCTCTCCAATGACGCTGCGAGTGCTACACGTGGGCGAGCCGCACGCGGGGCATTCAGAGCAAAAGACATTGATTTAAAGCCATTCGCTGGGTGGGCCAAGAACAACTGCCCCAGGGGCCCGGGACAAAGCCAGCAAAAGCGCCCAGCGTAGCCCACGGGAGGGCGAGCGGCCTGCACAGGCACGGGCGTCGAGATGCGTGGCTCTCGACCGGAGGCCGTCCCCCTGGGCCCGCGCCCTATTTAGAAGGGTACCAAAAAGGGAGTGACACACAGCCCCCCACTCAGTGCAGGCCAAGAGTGGGGAAGACCTCCTGGGGCTCAGGCGGCAGAAGAGAGGACCCGGTGTCATGGAATCGAACCCCACCCCTCACCGGTTCAGGCCCCACACCCGCCAGCGGCCCGGAACTCCGCCGGCTCTTTTCCCACCCGTGACCCGGGGTGAGGGCCACGCTCTGAGCCATGTCCCCAAGTCCGATGCGGAGAATTT